CTTATTAAAAAAACAGGAGGTTGAAAGAGCAAAATTTCTTTCCCTTAATGAAACAGTCCTAGAAAGATCTTTGAAGCTCTTCCCTCATGATTACCTCCTGGTTAATCAGCTGAAGGGCAACATTTTGGAGCAGTGCAAGGAAGAAAAAGCAGGAGAGTAAAATATAAGAAAGTCTTCCTGGAAAAATAACCAACAAAACAACCATATGGGTGGGATTAAAAGAAGCTGAACACTCCTTTAGCCTGTACAAATGTCCAGGTCCAGGAATGTACAGCTGCAGTGAACAATGGCTCTGCAAATAAATTAACTTGACTCACAGGCACTGATAAGGCCTAACTGCTCCTTTACAGGCTAACTCCTCTAACTCCTTCCAAAGGAGACGACTGTAACACAATATTTACCTTATTTCCTTGGGTGGTAAAGGGTCAAACTCAACTCCTTCACCAAAGGATAAAGGACACAGTCTTGGAGGGCAGCTGGAGAGAATGGGGCTGGGGGAGAACACGGAACTCTGCAAAAGAAATGCAAAATGTTTTATGTTACCACACTGTTGTACCTTTTATGTTACAATGCAGTACATTCTCAGGAAAACAGATTTATTTATCCCTTGCTATGGAGCTGCTGAGGTTGACATTTACATGCAGGAGGATCTGCTAGACCAAGATGTGCTACAGGTGCATCCTTCAGGCCTGACTTCACACTGGTCTAAAGCATCCTAGAGGTGGCCAGGAGCATTTTTGGAAGACAAGGTGGTAACTTCAGGAGCTTAATTCAAAGGAGCCACTCTGGGAAATGAGAGAGGAATGCAACCCCTCTGTGCAGTGTAGTCCATTCCCTGTATGAACCCACGCTCAAGTTATAATCAACATTTTAGGGGTGTCTGAGAGCTCTCTCCCTGCTGAATTCACCCCATACCCCCACGGACAGACCACAGAGGAAATTACCAACTCCCCGCTCCACAGCTACGCCCTGGCTCCTGTCTGAAGGCATTAAACCCGACCTAATTCACACACCAAGCGCTGGGAAGGATTAACTCATTCCCGCCGAGCGGTGGGTGATTCACTGCCTGTCCCTGTGCTCCTCTCCCGACACCCAGCACCAGGAGCTGACACCGAATCCCAGAGCCCGAGGAAACCAAAGCAGCCCTGCAGGGATGGAACCCAACCCGTGTGTGTTTCTGAAGCCACCTCTGCACGTGTGTTTACTATCGAGGGGCTGGGGGGCTGTGAGCATCTTTCCCTCCGATGGCCTTTTCCAATTTCACAGCAGCACCCCTGCAGATAAAAGGATTTTCCCTCTAAACCTGCAGTTTCCAAAGTATTTGCAACCAGCAGCTCAACATCCAAAAACTATCTGGTGAAAAACCAAATTAACTGAAACCACAGTTTATGCACGATAAATGCTCCGGGTCACTCCGGAGCAACGGGAGGTCACTTTCCACGGGGATTTCCAAAGACGTGCCGCGATGCCATCCCAGCCCCGAGCCGGGCGGGGAGGGAGCGGAGCTTCCCTTGCAGCCAGAGCTTTGTGAAAAGCCCCGTTCCACCGGGACCCTTCCCTCCCGGCGCTGACACGACAGCGGCCGGAGGGCTCGGTTACAACGGAGAGAAACGGCGGGCGGCTCTTCCAGCCCATCCCACGCCGGCCAGACGCGGGTTCCACCCTCGGCTCCCCGCGGGATGCGCGGGGTCCCGGGCGGAGCGGCGCGCTCCGCGGGCAGCGCTCCGCCGGGACCCGCACCTGCCGCGGGGGCAGCGGGGCTGCCGGTGCCGCGGTCCCGGAGGCTCCGGAGGTGCCGGCAGCGCAGGGAAGGGCCGGTACTCACCGCGGCGGAGGGCGCGGGCGGCTCGGGCTCCGGGAGCCCGTTGGCGGCGGCGCGGTCGGGGCTGCCCGAGGAGAGCAGCCAGGGCGGCGGGGCCGGGCCGGGGCTGGGGGGCAGCCCGGAGTCGGGGCTGTCGAGCCCGGAGTCGCCCCGTTTCCTCATGTCCGGGAGGTCGGGCACCTCCCGCAGGCTGAGCCGCCCCACCATGGCCGAGCCGCCGCTGCCTGCCCCGGCCCGGCCCCTGCCCCTGCCCGCGCTGCGCTCCCCCTGTGTCCCCGTATCCCACCGGTGCCCCTGTGTCCCACCCCTGTCCCAGTGTTCCATAGCCCCACCCGTGTCCCCGTATCCCACTGGTGTTCCCGTGTCCCACCCCTGTCCCTGTGTCCCACCGGTGCCCCTGTGTCCCATCCGTGTCCCACCGGTGTCCCCGTATCCCACCGGTGTTCCCGTGCCCCACCCCTGTCCCTGTATCCCACCCGTGTCCCACCGGTGCCCCGTGTCCCACCAATGTCCCCGTGTCCCACCAATGTCCCTGTGTCCCATCCGTGTCCCCGTGTCCCACCCGTGTCTCCGTCCCACTGCTGTCCCCGTCCCCCGGGCTGTCCCCATCCTGTCGGTGCTCGCGGTTTTCCCGCTGTCCCTGCCCTCCCGGTGACCCCATTCCAGCACCCCCGTCCTGCCCCCTGGCTCGGAATTTGCCATCGGGAGGCGGCGGAGTCACGGTCCTTGGGTAAAGACAGAGCGGACTCAGCGCTCTGGTGTGCTTGACAAGGTGGGGATGGGTCCCAGGTTGGGCTCGATGATCTCAGAGCTCTCTTCCAACCTAAATGATTCTGGGATTCTGTGGAACCATGCCCGATGAGCTGCCCTCCAGGCATCCCGCTCCAACCCACAGCGCGCCATCCCGCGGGTTTTGGGGAGCACCGAAAGAGCTGCCAGATCCTCGTGGGCTGCCCCCATTTCCAGTGGTGCTTTCCCCAGCAGCAGGGATTTTGGCAGCCGGGTTAAGCCCCCCAAGTTCTCCCTCCAGGCTGCTCTTTCTCCCTCCCCACTCCGAGCATTCAGGCTGGGGCAGCAGCACTGCCGCCCCTAATTGCATTTTTCAGGCAAAGCTGCTGAAGTCGAAACAAGAGAACAGAAGGAAACGGTCTTTCTAGCACTACAGGAGACCCAGGGAACCTTTTTTGGAAAATCCTAATGAAATAATTGCGCCATGTCATCAGATTTGGTGGGGGAATACTCTCGTGGAGGGAAAGCAACTCTGCAGCCGGCCAAAGTCAACACTCCCCTGCACAGAAAGCAGCAGTCTGGGCTGATGGGCCCAGCACAAGTGAACCCAAACCTAAAAAAATTCCTTCCCTGCCCCAAAATTAAAAGCAGAGCAGAACTTTCAGCCGTAGGCGTCTGTGGTTTGCAGCTATGCGGTGCTGGGAACTCCGGAGACTTCCTCAAGGAATTTACATTCCTTTGAAGAAATACTATGAGGCTGTTTGTCTTTGCTGAAAAATGCAGATGGAAAGAAAAGGAACATTAAGAATTTTGACTGAAATCTTTGGGGTCTGAGCAAATGTGCTGGACAGGTGTTTTCTTCCTTTTAATTTAAGTATATCCCCCCTCCAAAAAAAAGAGATGCTGGTCTCTGCAAGCAATAGGAAAACTGATCACTCCTCACTCCAAAATCTCCCATAAAAGCCCTTTATGAAATCAGATGCCTTGGAAGGCACTGGAGCAGTTTCCAGATGAACACAATCATCATTTCAGAGCTGCTGTGCAGCTCCTGGGTGAAATCCACGCTGCCAACAACCCACTAAGTGCAATTGAGGAGGGGGGAGCTCGGGGCACATCCCAGCAGTCACCTCTGAGAGCTGTGGGTGCTCCCATAGCCCCTCCCATGGGGATCAGGGTCCAGGAGAGAGGGAATCTCAGTGCCTGGGATAAGCAGAGCTCCTGGAAATCTTTCTGCTTATTTACCAGCAAGAAAACCCTCCCATTCTGGCATGGCTTGACACGCAGGGTGATTTTTTGTGCCCTTCCAGGTTCTCATTTCTGAGCTTTGCAGCCCACCCGAGGGTGCCCTGCAGCACCAACATCCAGACCTGCCAATCTGCCTGCTAGGATGGAAAGGAAGAGTTTAAGCAGAATTTTAACTGCTCAATAACTCAAACACTGTTGAGTCACTGTGTACAGGGGCTCTGCCTTTTCAGGACGTGTACTCTGCCCTCTCGGAAAGTCTGACTGGTTTTAAGTCTCAAACTGTACCAACCTGTGCCATCCCTGATGGCATTGGAAATCTTTTCCCCTGCCTGTTTGTCCACATTATTTGCACTTTAACTGCCCACACAGGCAGGATGGGGCAGACACAAGTCTCTTATCAAGATCCTCCTTCCATAAAGGACTTTCCACCAGGCCGGGCGTGCTCGGCTTAATCAGCAACCGAACCACAGGCGACGCCACACAACAGCCCCACTGCTGGGAGAGGCCACCAAAACGACCCTGTGGTATCTGAAAACGATGGAAAAGTTATTTCCAAAGGATGGGAAGTGCCAGGCTGTGTCACAGAGGAGCTGTGCTCACCCAGCACTGGGATTGAGGGCAGGGACGAGCACTGACAGCACATGGCTGAAGCTGCCGAGGTTTCATCAGCTTTTACAGCCCTGCTGCCACCGCCCTCGTGGAGCCAAGCAGAGGCTCGTGGAGGCTTGGACATCGTCACTTGGATGCTCAGAGTCCTGGCTGTAAATGTGGGGGAAGAAAGGAACACCCAGCGCCCGGCGCTGGCTGCTCCTGCCCAAGGGCGGAGGGGGCAGGAGCGCCAGGAGAAAAGCAAATGAGTCATTAATTCTCTGAGTGAAAGGAGCTGCTCCAGCGTCATGCAGAGTGTGGAAAAAGGCACTACCCCTTAATTAATTCCAAAGGAAAAATTAGGATCTCTCCGAAATTGCTCCCGCAGTGGCAGACAGCAGAAATGATGTGATTATTTAGGGGCACAAGGTCGGGAGCGTTGAGCCACCCACGCGGTGCAGGAGCTGCTGTGAGTGTGGATGCTGCCAGAGAAGGTGGAAAAGGCAGAGAGGAGCTGCAGGAGCAGATGGACAGCAGGGAGTGCTGGGTCCAGCACAGTTTGGGTGAGGTCCATCCCAGCCACTGGGATTTGCAGCCGTACAGAAACACCCAGCAGTGAGCATCAGTAACCATTTAATTCACGTTAGTGTCACACCCCACGTACAGCCAGAATTACACCCCGGCCTGAAACCATAAAAAGTGGCATTTTGTACAGAAAACACATAATCATCCTTTATTCCCCAAAGCTGTAAACTCCAAAGAGCTAATGCACAAATAGAGACTTGCCAAATCTAATAAACACCCAAGAGCCAGGGGCACAAAACTCTTACACCAGAAGTAGGAAACTGTGGATTTGCTCTCTGAAAGTGGAACTCCAAACACTCAGCCCTGCAGCAGTCTTCAAAGGCTGGAACTAAAAATTCATTTCTCCTTTTATTTCCTCTTATCTACAGAATGAAATGCAGAGAATGAAATGGGGGAAGCCTCTGGGTAAGACACACAATGATAACTTCAACATCGTCTTCAGCTATTCATAATTTAGTGTGAGACTTAGCCTTAGACAAAGCAAAGAAAAATTCATCTAAAATAAATTATTCATCCCCTCATGGGAATAATGAATCTCTGCACACCCCTGTTCCCTCCTCTCCAGCTCTGCAGTGTGAGCCATCCTGCACATGCACCTTGAGATAATCTGTCCTTGGGGAATGGCTGCTCAGAATCCCAATGTGCTTCCAACCATCCCTTCTTCTGTCACCTAACAGGCAATCAGGAGAGGAAGCAAATGAGGCAACAGCAGATTTGTAAAACTGGAGTGATGAGAAACTGCTGTCCCTCCCTACAGGTGTTGTTATTGCTGCTCTTCACTCCCCATCTCGGTGCAGCTCTGGATGGAGCTCATGTTCCTGGAGCCTGATCTCCCCTCCCTGATGTGCAGCAGTGATTTTTACAATCCCTGTGAGTACAGCCCCTAAATAAATACAGTCCTAAGGCCCAAACTTGCCCTGGTGGGGAGCACAACCCCCCCAGGAAGGCATCTGACAGCCTGGTTGTTCCTCACCTGCCACACTGGTACAGCACTTCCCTTTCCTGCACATGCAAGTGAAGCTTGAGTTAAATAACACAGGCACGACTGGTTGACCTGCCCTACTCCCATGTGGGATGCACTCATGGTTGGGCATATGCCTTCAAGGTCTCCCAGAAAGGGTCCAGAGGAGTTTGGGAAGAAATCCAGCAGTGCTAATAAAGAGGTGAGGCCTCCGTGCATGGAGACTCCTTGGGGAAGCATCTACTGATCCCAACCCTGCTCCACGCTGGCTCTGTGCCTGGGAGCCAGGAGCTGGGCCATGGGAAGAGGGGCCTGGGTTATCCAAAATATTTCACTGCTGGTTCTCCTCCCCTCTGCACTGCTGCAAGCTGAGGCTCAGAGGAGCAGGAGTAGGAGGAGGGCCTTGAAGCCTGAGGCTGCTGAAAGCCTCCCATGCCACCAAGTGGCCCTGGCTCCCTGACAGAGCCAACATTTCCAGCATCTCTCCTTGTAGGGCAGCAGAGGTGCCAAGGTGGCACATCCCTGCTCAGGACACTTCAGCTGGAGAGGGAGAGATCTCCCAGGAAGGATGGGAACTCCCACTGGGGACAGAGGGTGAGCCCAGCACACACCAGGGAAGTACCAAGCAGCTGGAGAGGGCTCCACAGCTGCCAGGAGCTTTGCTAGGGTGCAGAAGGCATTAATTCAGCCCTTTCCTCCTGTTCTGAAAAGGATTTGCCTTGCTGTTTCATGGTGCTTTGTGCATGCCTGTCTGGGAGCAGGGGAGAAGTCTGCCTTGGGGTTCCCTCCTGGGCATCTCACTGATCCAGCGGAGCTGCAGGTGCCTGGACCTCAGCTGTTAAAGGGTCAGGGGTTTGGTGGTGGTGATGGGGTTGGTTCCCCCCAACCCCACAATAAATAATGAATTAGAGGAACAGCTCTGCAGCAGGGAGTGAGCAGTAACACAGAACTGAGGCAAAACCCTCAGTGCTGCAGCAGGAGCTCAGCCAGGGTAAAAGCTGCGACACCAAGTGCATCACAGCCAGGCAGACTGTGAATCCACTTGAATTGTTTCTGTAGCTGCTGGCTTCCAGGTGCCTCTATTTTCTCTGTCACATGGTCCTGGCAATGTCCTGGGTTTCACTCCTGCTAAGCTAAGGGCAAACACCTTGGTCAGATTCTTCCTTGGTCTGGTCGCAGCGTGCGACGGCCGAGAGGTCGCAGGGACAGGGAGGGACAGCACAGGGCTGTTCCAGCAGCACGCTGCAAACACAACCTGCCGAGCTCTGCTCCCCGTCCCTGCCACCAGCCCCGAGGCACAGAGCTCCCCCGTGCTCCCTCAGAGTCTCTTCTTGATGAGTTTCTCCAGTTTGCGGATGCGGGAGGATTCCTGCTCGGGCGTGGGAGCGCTCAGCGAGAGGGAGCCGGAGCCGTCGCCGCCGGGGGGAGGAGCGGGGAGGCGCAGGCGGAAAAGATCCAACATGCTGCTCTGCTCGCTCCTCTTCAGGCCCTGAGGGAGCGAAGGACAGCAGTCACTGACCTGGGAGCAGCTGCAGCAGAGCCCATTTCAAACCTGCACCTCCTGCTCAGCCACCACCAAGACCTCTGGACGACCCCGAGCTCAGCCCCAGGAGCAGAGCAGGTATCAAAATGTGAAATGAACTCGGAACTTTTTTCTTCAGCAGCAATTCTGCTTTCAAAGTAAAGACACACTTGGCTTACAGTGCTTCTGCCACCCCCAATCCCCTCAGAATTCACACCGGAATAAAGTCCCCAGCAATCCCAAAGCAGCACTAGAGGATGAGCAGAAGCCCTGGACAGGTTCTAACCTTCATGTCGAGGATCTTCTGGAATGTGTCAGTGCTGCAGTCAGCCAGAAGCTTGATGTAATTGTCCACAAACACAACTGGAGGCTCGTGTGGAGCCATCACCACCTGCCAAGACAAGGAAAAAGAGATCAGACAAATAATAGGAATTAAAGGCAGTGCTCAGTCAACTCTGGCACAGGAGTGACAGCAGGGCTGGCTCCTAAAATAAAATGCTTAAGGAACAAGAAAGAGGCTGGCTATGGGAGAGGTAAAGGTGAGTGAAGAGAAGCAGAGTAAGGAGCAGGGAGGAAGCTGGGTCTCTCTCAGCACAGCAGTGGTGCTCATGGGCTCTGCATCATGTTTCAAAGGGCAGCAGGACTTTGTCTGTGGCCTGTGGGCTGGCAGGCACTGGGGTATTGTTAAAGCTCAAGATTTTACCATGTTGCAGGGGAAGACAAGCTGGAGAGCTGCTCAGGGGACAGTGCTGGCAGTGGTGGTGACACTCACAAAGTCCCAGGAGATCAGGCAGCCTGGACACAGTCCAGACCCTCAGTCTGGCTGTGTGTCCCTCCTGCCTGGAGGCAGGACACACAGTGTGTCACAAGGGAATGTGACAACACTCTGTGGTCACTCCCTCGGTCCCCAGGACAGCGAGGGCCAGAGCTCTCTGCTCTGCAGCTCTCCTGACATGGCACCAGTGGGTGAGCAGTGCCACACACAGCCACTCTGTCCCTGGGGTGCAGCTCCTCTTGGACACCCCTCTGGAGAGACTGGGATGAAGGATGGGAACCCCCCACCAACATCTGCCCAGGAGCAATCACAAAAAATAGGAAAAAAATCAGAATAGCATCAAAGCTGGTAAGATGATCCCTCACTGATGTGCTTTTCTTACATTAGCAGCAAGCTCCACAGAGAACACATATTTTGATAATGCTGGGCAGCCAAACCATCTTTCTGGGGAAGAGTGTGTGTGTGTGTCTGAGTGTGTGTAAATGGGCAGAAACAGCACCAGACCAGACCCTTCCCTGTCTCCAAAACATTTCCATATGTTTGCACTGACCCAGCTCACCCCACACTGTATTCTGTCACCAAGACATTTCTTTCTTTCCCTGCACTTCAGACCACTGAAACATCATAGCCATGTATACACTTATAAATCCTTAATTTACAGCCCTTGTAAAAATCTTCTGCCAAGATGAAAAGCTGGAGCTTCATACAGCGTGGCCAGAGGAGAAGGGGAAGAGCTCTGCAGGATGTGCATGGCCCAGTGCCCTCCTCCCCACTCCCATCTGTGCTTCGTGGGGCTCAGCTCCACAGACTTGTTTGTGCTGCCCATGGGCCCTAAGTTTGTCTTCCTGAATTACCTGCCCCAGAAGAAGCCTGGGAACACACACTGGAGCTCCCAGCGCTGCCAGCCCGTGGCTGTTTGATTTGCAGCTCTGCTGACACAGAGCCCTCACAGGGCCAGCACGGGCTGTGTGACACAGCAGTGGCACTGCTGCTGCACAGCCTGGGGACCTGCAGCACTCCATGTGCTGCTTTCCTCTCCAGTGTGATGCTAAGGGTTAGACAAATTAACTCCATTACTCTTCTGATTCACACACAAGCTCCAAGGAAAGACCTGTTCTGTACACAACAGGCACCAATCTTCCCTGCTCCCGTTAGCACAAACCAGGACATTTTTATTCAGGTCATTTCTAGGAAAATTTAAACTACAATTCACTAACACCTCAGTCACCTCAGTCCAAAAGCATGGAGCTGGAGAGCCAATGTCTGAATCCAGAGCACAAACTCAGCTGTGACATTGCTCTGGGCATGGGAGCAGAGCCACACTGAGCAGCAGGTCAGGAGGGACAGCTCAGGCTCCTCACCCCCCTGCCTTGGCTGTGCTTTACAGGAGGCTCTGGCTGGCAGCTGCCTGTCCTGCCTGACCCCAGGTCCCATTAATTCCCTCCCAGGAATGCCTTCCCAGCACTGCTGGAGAGCAGGGGACAATCCCATCATCCAGGAGGGCACAGCTCCCACGGCTCCTCCTGGGATCAAACCTGACTTCTCCCTCCAGCAGCAACTGGGAAGGGCAGATTGCTTTGCTTGTTGCTTTTTATGAAGACAACACACTGCTTTTGGGTCATTTTCCAGGCACCAGGTCTGGAAAATGAAAAAGGGCTCTGGTGAATACAGTAACCCAGACATGTTTGCACTGGCTGTTACACTAGACAGTAAACAGGTGACTCAAGCACAGCTTGGCTCCCCTGAGTGAGGAGTCTGCACAAAGGCCTGGAGTAACCTGAACCCCGGGCTTTGCCCCACAGCAGACCCTCATGGATGCAAACTCTGATTTCCACAAGCTCCTGAGGGAACCTGGTGCCCCAACTCTCCAAACTTGAGTCTTTGGTTGCCTTGAAAAGTGAGCGTGAAAAACTCCAAAATGGTATTAGAAGAGAGTGGGGGCAAACCCAAGGGGAGTGAGCCAGGTCTGTAGAGCAGCTGGCAGAGCCCCCAGGCAGGCTCACAAACTCATGTGCAATTGCAGATTGCAGCATTCAAAGGAAGGGCCCCCTGGAATTCGCTCGCTGATTCCCAGGCCAGCAGTCTGGCTGGCAGGCTATCAAAAGGCTTCAGTTACCTTCAGGATCATTTCAGCCCGAGTCATGCCTTTCACCACTATCTTTGTGTAGCTGGCAGGAGCCTTCCTCACCACTTGGGACCCAATGGAGGGCAGATCCAGGAGAACCATCTTCAGGGAGTGAGTGTCCAGCAGCAGCTGCAAGAGTTAACCACACTCTGTTACTCAGGCTCCTTCTACACCAAGATCCATCAGCTGCTGGAACCCAACATCCTTAAAAGTTTAACACTTCCCACACTGGAAGAATTCCAGTAGTTGGACTGCAGGAACAGGAGGGGCTGAGCCATGCAATGACACTTCCAGGAGATATGATCAGCCATGGTTACATATCAGCATCATGGCTGATTTCAACAGAGCACTGCTCTGCTGACTGGAATTGACTTAAGGCAGCCCAACATCTGGCACATCAGGCACAGATTTCCAGCCCTTCCCCCCACCAGTATGAAGTGAAATAATCTTGATTACCTGGAGCTGCACCATGATTTAGATACCGAGGTTCAATGAACTAACACCAAGCTTCCTCCTGCACCCAGCCACACACAGAGTCAGCTTTTCTGCATTTACTCAACCCCTTGATTGGGGTTTCTTTCCTTAAAATCTGCCACACAATACAGCTACACTGAGAGCTGCTCACAGCCTGGATGTTGTTTGTTACTACCCAGCAAATAAATAAGGAGCAGCCATGAAATTGAGCCCAGACTGACAGCACTGTCTTGTGACAAAATGCTGTGGGTTAGGGCTCCTTAGAGCAAAATTTTCCTGAATACCACACTCCTCTGATTGCACAAAGTATGTCTGAAGAGACAAGACCAGTAAGAACAGAAATCTGAAATCAAACTAGAGGAAGAGCAGCCCGACTTATTTAGACAGCAGTGAGTGTGAAAGCTGCTGGGCTGTCAGCACACCCACAGCATTTCCACAAAGAGAGAACTCGTTCTGGAGGGACACAAAACATTCTGGGCACTGCAGAACCCCCAGCAGTGACCACAACAATGTGAATATTGGCCTCAACACTTGTGGGAATTCAAAGGAACACAAAGGAGTGGCTGTGGAGGAGGAGGAGAGGCTGGCTGGAGTCTGCAGCCCATTCTCTGCAGCACTGTGTCCTTGCTGCTGCTGCCTTTCCGTGGCTCGCATGAGAAGAACTGATGCCATCCATCTCCTCCTGGCAGCCAGGAAACCACAGCACAGATGAGCAGCTCTGTGCACCCCAGGCTGCTGGAGCCCTCAGCTCAGGCTGTCATAGCTGGATTCCTGTGTGTCTACCAGGGATCCCAGAGAGGGAGAGATTCCAGGGCTGGGGAAGTCACATCTTCCCCACATCAGCTCTCTCATGGCTAACAGGAGTTCTGCACACTCTGCAGCCTTCCCCACAGGCACAGCTCCTGCAGGCTCTGTCCCCTCACCCCGTTTTCCATTCCAGGTCCCTGGCATTGCTAACTCACTACCAAAGCTTGCTGGGATGCAGAGCTGTTAAGTCAGAGAGGAAAACACAGAAAGCAAAACCCCACAGGTCTTATTCCCTGTATTGAATACTGAATATCTCCATAAATATATCACCCCAGTACTCATATTCCAACTGTAATTACCAGCAAACATCATGAAAAGCTGTGTGTAGAACCAGAAAGGCCAGGAAAATGTATTCCCCAGCAACATCTGCACCAGGGAGGAGAAAGTGGCATGGAAAGATGCTGGTGGGTGACCAGGCGGGTTCAGAAGATTTTAAGGGAATTGGGGTTCTACTTGCTGCAGAGAGAGATCAGCTACTGAGACCTCTGTAGCCCTAGCCCCAGGGAGGTATGTCCCACTTCTAATGAGATGTATTCACTGGGAATCAGCCTAATAAAAACCTTCCCAGTCTGCTTTAAAGAAGCAAATTTGGACTGTTATTCCCATACAGGAATATTGAAAGCTTTTAACATTAGACACAAGCCCACTGCTGGTTAATCACTTGAGAAGCTTATTTTAAAAAGACTCCCTTTAATCACTCTCAGGTTATTGCTCATCACACAAGACAAACAGGCACTGAGCTTCACTCATTTGCTTTCCATTAAGGATGAGGAAGGTTTTGATGTAAAGCTCCTGTTTCGTTTTGCAGACACTGCTCAGAACCATCTTTGATGCCTAAAACCCAAGCAGCTTTGAAGGCACCCATTTGAAGCTCACAGCAGTCCCATTAAGGATGATTCTGCCTTTTTTTTTTTCTTTTGCTTTATTTTTTTTTTTTATGAGCCCACAGGAGTAATAATCTCTATGTGCAGGGGACAGATGAAATCCTGCCTCTTCCAAATCCCATCCTCACAGAGCAGAAGGGTCCAGCCCATGGCAGGGTGGGAGATGCCTCAATTTCTTGAACCCAAAAGCCATCAAATATGACAGCTCATGCACCTATTATTTCTTCTTACCTGTTCTGCACCCACCATGCTGATAGGTTTGCACTTGAAGAGATGGTTAATGAACTTGGGAATGAAGGAGCTGCAGGAGAGACAGAAAATGATACAATTACATAAGAATATTTGCAGTCAGACAGTCTTCTGTGGTGACAAAGCATGCAGAACCAAACCAGGATGGCTTCCATAAAGACACTCCCAGTGCCAGCTTCCCAAACTGATTCCAGACATGTTAAATATACGAAATAAAAAACTCCCAACCCCTAGGCACAGCTCTGTTGGGGGTTTTTTATTTGCTTTAATCCCTCCTGATCTCAAAGTTCATTGAGAAGCTGCACACACACTCTAGAGGTAAATTGCTATAAACTAAATATGAACTATTGCAGTAAAAGGTCAGCAAACAAACTATTTTATTTATCATAACAACAGCAACACACCAGGATCAGTCTCACTGCTCATGAGTGGATGTATCTTGACTGTATCCAGAACCTACATTTTCCTGCACACAAGTAATTCCATAACATGCATATTACACACTGAACTTGAGGTCCAGCCAAGGCTGGAGGTCTGCTGGGCCCTGGACACTCACACAGAGGCATCCTTCCAGAAAGCTCCTGGCCAACACAATCAAGACAAGAAAAAGTTTTGTGAAAAGGAAAACACCATTACCATATTTTACTGTCATGGGCTTCAGACTCAGAAAAATGACTGCCCAACCAGAGAGAGCTTGGTGAGGAAGAAAGCCCAATATTCACCACTTCAGAGCATCAGCTTTGGTTTCAGCTGATTTTTGCCTTTTGATTGGAGGCTTTGAAGCAGTTTTATTGCAAAAGCACTGGTTGGGCACCTGCAGGATGAGCTCCTGCCTCTGCTCCACCAAGGAGCAGCACCAGGAAAACTCAGGAGCAACAAACTCTGTCAGGACCACACCACTTGAACAAATCTTCCTCTTGCTGCCCTGTTTTAATGTACTCTGCTTCTTTCACATGTTCTCCTTTGGCTGGGTGCCTGCAGGGCTCACATTTCCAGGGCTTGTCCATGCCCTGGTGGCAGCTCTTGGGTTTTAATGGCTCTGTCCTAAGAGAGGATCAGTCAGTCAGGCTGCTGTGCTCTGCACTGAGGCTGTCCATGATGATGATCTAAATTCAGCGTGGTTTCCTCCTTGCATCTGTTAAGCTTTTTGTTTCCTCCCCACAAAGCAAGGAGCACAACAGCATCTTGTTTGTCCTGCCACCTGTTTTCCAAGGCAGGACATTAATTTCTCATCCTTTCTCATGGAAAAGTGACAAAAGTGCAGCTCAGGCACGGAGAGTGCCAAGCTGCTGAGCAAACCCAAAGGAATGGCTCAAGGAGAGCCCTCACAAGCAAAGGTTCTTTCCTTTCCCCTTCCCTCAGACACAGTCACTACCTCTCTCAGTGAATAATTTTATCCTGGAGAGGTGTCAAGGAGAACAATTTCAAGCTACTGTTGAGAACCAGCTACTGGGCTGCCCCGAGCAGCTTTGAATTTGGCCACCGGAGAAACAATCTTGGCAACAAAACAGAAAGAGGAGGAGGAAAAGAAGCCCTGACTCCTCTTGCACAAAAGCATTTCAGTGGAGATTTAACCTATCTGTTTTAAAAGTCCATTTTTCAGATCTATAACTAATTCCCAGAGGGCAATTAGAGAGTGATGAGCACAGCTGGAGCTTAGGTGATCCTAGAAAATGATAAATTTGCAGCAGCTCACTGCTGGCAAAACAGTACAATAAATTAATTGTGCCTTTGATGGTGTAGGTAGATCCAATTGTCCCTCCCTCTGCAAGGTCAGGCATGGAGCTAAAGCTCATGGTGTGTATGAGAAACAGGGTGAGCCTTTCCTGCTGCAGGGTGGCACACTGGCAGCCCAAGAACCCCCTCCCCTGTTGGTTTTAATCTTCTTTTCTGTATAACCACACAATCTCCCATAGACAGCTTTCTGTCTTGCATGAAACAATTCCCAGGCCCCTCTGGATGGCCACCCACCATCAGTGCAGAGGGGTAAAGTGACCTTCCATCCCCACATACCTCTTATTTCACGCTGCCTTATTGGAAACAGCTTCCCAACTCCAGCAGGACAGACAAGACAAACTCTAAGAGCCAAGGGCTGCTCTGGAATTTTTTTTCCCCCCCCTTGGTTTTTTTTTTTTAATTTTTTTGGACTAGCAGAGACCATCAAGAGCACTTGCACTTAACAGAAAAATGCACTGGAACCTCTTGCCTAGGCTGGACTCGATGCCTGGTGCTCTCAGAGTACAGGAGGCAATCCTGATGTGAGTAATATGTGCATGTTCAGGGTTAATGCTCTGCACGAGGCTCTGTGCTCTCAATGCCTTTACTCCCTGCACAATCACAGCTAGATTGGATGCCCAAGTTCATTTACAGCTTCAGCTCTGAAACTGAACACAGCAAACCCTCCCTAGAAGCAGATAAGTGCCCAGTGTAATAACAAAACAGTGCAAGAGAGATGAGGAACCTAAAGCACAGAAACCACAGCATCTGAGAGCCTCCCATCCAACAGGAGTGGCCCTGCCAAAGCCTGTGTTTTTCCCAATCCCCTGCACTGATGATGCATCAAACACAATGCCTTGCTGAGTGAGGCACAGACAGACTTGCAACCACAGTCTGTCGGTCTGTCTGTCTGTCACCCTGAGCTACTGCAGGACACCCCTCAAAGGTTCTGGGGTCGCTGAGTCACTGCAGCCAAGGAGGGTTCTGCTCTATGCCACCCTCCGAGCTGGTGACCAGGCTGAGCTCAGCTCTGAAACCTCCAGGAGCCTCCACATCCCAACCTTCCTCCACCAAACTGTTCTCACTTTTTATCTGGAGCGCCTGGGAGGACACAGCACCCACCACCTTGGCTGCTGCCAACGGAGCAGCCGCTTCCCCGGCGAGGGGGAGAACTGTTTGTTTTTCCTGTCTCTCAGTTCTAATCTCTTCCTCATTGAGGTCAGGTCACAGACTTCCCAAACACATCCCAGCATAGCAGCTTGGCTGCTGTGGGGTTTGATTTCAAAGGATAAGGTGCAGGCAGAGCTGAGCCCCCCACCCTGCCTGCCAGCGCTCGCCGTCCCCGGGGAGCGCCGCTCGCACATCGGTCAAAACAAAGCAAAAATGACAAATTAGGTTAGAGGATTGATGCAATTTCTGATGGCCATTTTTCTTCTCTCCAGTCTTGGCTCAGATCCTGCTGTTTTAAATTTAGTGACTTTAGCTGCCTTCTCCCCTGTGGTCCTGTAACTCAACACTCACGCTTTATACAATCCATTAGAGCTGAGAAGTGGCAGCTCACAAAGACACAGGCATTAACATGTGGAGAAGCACAAGGCCTGTTAAAAGGATTTTCAGCATTGTGGGGCACACAAAAGGCCAGGTATTTACACTGGCCCAGCCAGCATATTCCATAAGAATGCAGAGTTTCAAAAATACAAATATTTGTATGCATTAAAAGGCATTTTAAGGAGATTGGTGCTCCCTTACCACCGAGCTGGTTCTCCTTAGCACCAAGTTGCACAAACCCAGCAAAATCAACCTTCAGGAACCCATTTCACCCTTCTACATCTGATCCATGGCACAGCGAGTTCAGGACTGTGTCTTAATTTTAATGTGCTGCAGTTGTCTTAAAAAAAAAATGTTTTGGAGAGGAGCAGGGGCTTCTGTGCTCATGGATGAGGACACCCAGCTTAGATGGGAACTTCACTCAAATCTGAGAGCTGTTTCATCAGGAGTTTACTTGGTATGTGCCTGGCAATAAAGTTAAAAGGCAGGCAACTAAGCTGAGGTATTAAGAGTGTGCTGTGAACAGCTGAATAAATGGGGGGTTTTATTTATCACATAAAATTCAAGTGTAACCACACAGAAGGTTTTCATACAATAAATTCTCACTGAGACAGCGTTTCAAACGGTGATTATGGGCAACATCATAACATGATTTATCAGGGACTGCTCCTTAAAGCAAACCCATGAGTACCCCAAGACAGAGAGGGGGATGAAACTCTCAGGAGAGCCTCCCTGCTGGGAAAGCTCCCTGGATAGCTGCTGCATCCCACCCTGCTGAGGCAGGAGCTGCAGCTCAAATCTCCAACCCACACAGTCCCTGCCAGGCCACAGAGCTTATTTCAGGCTGATTACCTTATCAGAGATGAATGAAACATTAAGGTATTTCAGAGTGACACATGACACGCACGCCACTGCCCTCAAGTCCACCAGCAGGGTCACATGTGCCACCAAAAGCAGCAGCTACAACTGGCACAGCCCTCCCAAGGGTTTTTCCTGGGGCATTGCCATGTGGAGCTCAGCTGGCCACAGGGAAGAGCTCAAAGTATCTTCCCAAAGAGGTGAATTTTTGTTTCAGACACAGAGGTGAAAGTTTGGGTGTCCACCCTGTGTCCAGCAGCAAGGGGCATTTCTGTCTCATCTGTCACTTCTTTCATGCTGCTCAACTTTAAGTGACTTGCCAGGAAAATACTTTAATACCCCCCCAACTTTTAAATGTGAATTTCCCCTCCTGACTGAGTTATTTTTGCACAGAAAAGCAGCTTTCAGATTGTGAAGGTAAAATATGCTCCTCACACATGCCCTCCTTACAGGGCAATGTTATTTTGAGGCAAATTTCTCAGTATCTGGAAGGCCCATGGAAGAAAAGCAGGTTTTCCCACAGCAAGAGTCATATCTAAAGTCAGATATTCAAAGTCTTTTAAAAATGCCCAACCCAAAACTTCCTGCACTTGGCAAACAACACACAGTGATCACCACACTGTTTTATGGGATGACCTGAATAAAGTGTGCATCTTAGTAACTTACTTTGCAAATTTTATGCAGAACTGAGTGAAATACTTCCTGGTGGAGGCCAGGTTGTCACGGATGATGGGGACATTCTGTTTGATGTGGAGGATCACTGAGGTGACATAAGGACTCTGGTCACCAACGTGTTCCACGTTCTGCCACTGCATCTGCACAAAGGGGAAAAAACAACCCAAAATGACTGTTTAATTCATCAGCATTCAAGCAAGAGGCAAGGGAAACTGTACAAACTTCCTGCCAGGGGATCTCTAAGGAATCATTTAGAGAATGCCTCTGCAATTCACCACCAAGGTCAAGTTCTTCATCATTAAAGTGACTGGGCAAAACCATTCCACAAGAAGACCCAAAGAAAAGCCAGAGCAGCCCTTTTTGCACCAGGGCAGAGACTGTGACCAGTAACCCACACAAATGGGCACCACCAGGATTAAAAGAGTCTTTGGAGCACACCAGGCTGCTTTAATATTTAACAGTTTCCAATTTGCTGGGATGAAAGTGCCCATATAAATCCTGATTACAGGCATTTGAGAAAATATCTGCAAGCTTGCAAAGTCTGGATTCCTGTATGGCAGCCAAGACTTTAATACTGGTGAGACTGATGACAGATAGATGGAAGAGGTAAAAAGTCTTAAAGTCCAAAGTACTCTACACCAGTGTAGCTCACTGAAAACACTGCTGGTGTACAAGCCAGGATGCCCAAGTCCAGCTCCTCCAAATGCATGTTAAAAGGACAAAACAAGAAGAGTTACTCAACCTCCCATTTTGTTTTCATTTATTCTCAGCAGAACTGCAAGAGAACAGCCCCTGTGAGCCAGATGTGTGGCTCTCTTGATTTTCTCTGAGCCTGGTTTGCAGTACACAGGGTACTCCCAATTTAAGTCAGGTGGAAAAAAACCAAAAAAAGAGATTATTGGGTCTGGCCTTGCCTCGTGTATGTACCAGAGTCTCACTGAGGAACACAAGCATCCAGAGAAGCACACTCAGTTCTGCTGCTGCTCAGAACTCTGCAGTGTCCTCCCAATAACTCTGGAGATCTGTTCCTCATGCTGGAGATGAGACAGGAGGAAAACTCATAGGAAATCAGGAGAGGAAACTGGGCACATATGGAAGATGAGCTTTTTCCTTTGAGGGGCTGTTTGTCCTCAAACTTGTTTTCCCAAGCTCTGGATTTTGCATATAAAGGGTTTTTTTTTTTTTATTCCTGGTTTTAATTTAATTTAATATGGCTACTTTGCCCCCTGCAACTCAGCTGACTCAACTCCATCCAAACAGCACACAGCCTAAGTGACTTATTGGGAAAGAAAAGCCAAATTCTTTGCAAAACCACAGTGTCTGTGTCTACACATGTCCCACTAAAGCTGCCTTTATTTAAACCAAACAAACCAACCCCCAGCCTGCTGCTCTCACATCAGCTGGGTGGCTGGAAGGGATGTCTCTCTCATCACCTGCTCCACAGGTTTTTCACAGTCACAGAACATCCTGAGCTGGACACACAAGGAGCACCAACTTCAACTCCTGGGACTGCACAGACACCCCAGCAATCCCACCCTGTGTCTGGGATTGTCCAAACTCTCCTGGAGCTCTGGCAGCCTCGGGGCTGTGACCATTCCCTGGGGAGCCTGGGCAGTGCCAGCACCCTCTGGGGAAAAACCTTTCCCTAAAATCCAACCTAAACCTCCCCAGACACAGCTCCAGCCATTCCCTCAGTCCTGTCACTGGTCACCTGCTTTTCTACTCCTCGTGGTACTGATCACATCCAAACAGAATATTCTGTGCCTCTCTCCCTGATGGATTCACACATTCCCTTCTTGACAGAGCAATCCTCACCCAACACACCATCCCCACAGAGTGGGGAAAGCCAGAAAGTGGGAAGGGACTGCTGAGCTGAATTATTGCACCAACAATGAAACAGTAGCTTTTTCATTTTGTTGGTCATCATTCCAAAAGCAATACTTTACAACCAAACCTTTAAAGCATGAACAGTAAAAATAGCCCTTTTGTGTGTGTGTTGTGGGCGTGTTTCACCCAAAAAAAACCCACCCAGTAGCTGTAGAGAAAGGAATAGCACACATACTGAAAAGTCATCATAAGAAATATGAGCCCAACTCTGCTGGTAAAGCTTTGTTCCTGTCTTTTTAAATTTATTCCTCTTTTTCCCTTGTCCTGTGTTTTTCTTGGGATATCCACACAGTTTACATACACAAGCTGGAAATGAGTCCAAGGAACAGGAGCAGGGAGGTTTCACTGCAAGGGAGAAACCCAAAGGCACCTGCAGGCTGGGAGGACACAGAAGGGCTGGAAGAGCTGGTGCTGCCTCCTGGTTCTCACCACAAAACACAGGGCTGAGGTTAAAACAGGCAGGAGGAAAGAGAAACCCTGCAGAAATGGGGAACCCTGCCTCCAGGGAAGGACAGGGGCTCAAGGGTGGCACGGCGCTGTGTCCCCAAAGAGCCACCAGGTCCCTCCCTGTGCCCAGCCCTCCAGCTAAGGGGCTTGTGATGGAGGAGAGGATGAATGAAACTTCAATTTTTTGCCCTGTTCCCAGCAGCATCCCACTGGCAGCTTCTCCTTGCAGGCTCCAGCCTGGCACCCGCGGGAAGGGAAGGGAGCAGGGAGCGCGGCTGGCCCCGAGTTTGGGGACACGAGCTGGGCTCTGCCCTGTCACCCTCTGCACATATTCCAGGGCTCACACGTTCTCCTGAGGGCTCTTAATTAGCAGCTCTGATTGCTCTGCTCTCAGGGATTTTTCTGTGTGTGGAGTGGAGGAATGATTAAAGCCGCGCTCTGTCCACTCGGCTGTGAGGGCACGGGGAATTGCAGCTGGGCCAAAAGGTTTTAGGAAAATGTAAAAAGCCAGCAAGAAGTTGATGTGAGGCACTGAAATGTCCCCCAGCCCCACTTCCAGGCACGGTTTTACATATAAATCGATGCTTAATTCAGCAGTAAATCAAGCCTTAGCCAGTGCAATCCATAAATTTAATTGGGGCAAAAATATCCCGCGCAGATTAGCAATTGCCTCATCCCAGAAATTAAAAAGGAAGAACACCAGGCAATCTGAGTGCTGCTACACATCAGTACAAACACATTAACAGCTCTTAAGTTATCCAGAATATCACAACAGGGGGTTTAGGGCAAATTTTCCTCCCACCCACATCCCAGCTCCCCATCCCACAGCCACGTTTAATCATCCTACACCTGCTGTAAAGTCTGAGTAAGGATTATCACCTACAAATTTTGTAATATGGGGCCTTCTCAGCATTTACCATTTTCTTCAGAACACACCAAGTAAAGAATCATGGAAACCAAGCAGCATTCCCAGCTGAAAGCAATATTCCTGATGCTGTTTTCTGTGTTAAATCTCTCAGCGTGGCCTGCAGCCAAAGTGGATTGAGAGGTTTAAGCATTTCATAATTTACCTCTACAGTTCCTGAACATTTTTGCAAAGAAAAAAATAAAACCCCAAAGCCAGGCTCCAACAAAGGACTGGGAATGTTCAATCCTGGAGGACAGCAGAGTGAGGTAAATGAAAAGAAACCAAGGAAGAGCCCTAATGGAGTATGGATCTTGAGAGAGCAAAATTGGAAGGGATCAGCCACACAATCTTTATTTCTTTAATATAGGCTGAAATTTTACATTTCCAAATACTAACTCTGTGTTTAAATAATTGCATGCATTTCTTATTGAAGTGTCAGAGCAATAACCCAGCCCTGAAGGAAAGGGAGGAGGAAGGTGAAAGAAAAAAAACTTCTTGCACCAAATCCAGGTCTAATAAAAATCACATAAAAGCAACTCTGTCTGATGCAAATAGTGGAGTGTGTGCACAAGTGACAAGTATTTATTTAGCTAATTTCATAACACTTAAACTTGTTTATATATCATCAGTCCCATCACATGTGCTGCATTTTACCAGTGCTCCAAAGACAAAAATAAATGGCCTACCAGCTGCTGCTTTCTCAAGGTTGTGGTTTACTTGGGTATAAACAGTGAGAGCTAAGTGATTTAAATATTCCTCTACTCTGTGGGTTCAGGAGATCTCAGGGGCTGCCACGGCACACAGGCAACACCTGAAGTGCTGAGCCCTTCCTAGTGGTGTTATTTGACTGGGCAAAAAAATCCTCTTTCCATTTGGAACCTGTACAAGCTCTATTACCAGCTGCATTCTACTTCAAATATTAGCTGGGGGTGGTGGGGCTGGTTACAGCTGGAATACATCATAAAGCAGAAAGCTATTAAAATTCATGGCAGCCAGACAGTGTGTTGATCCCACAAAAATGGAGCTCTATGTTTAATATTTCTAATTAAAAGGAAAAAAAAAAATAGTTCAATCCACTTTTGTTGTCTTCACCTCTGTCTAAAGCAAGTCTGGGTTTTCACAATACTTTGGCAAGGAAACACAGCTCTGCATTTCAAACATATAAAAGCCAGCAGTGTAACTGCAACAAAATCCTTAAGCTCAGTCATAGGGGCCTCTCCAGGAATGGCTCCATATGTCCTTGAGAGGATCACAGAAGCAATAAGGCTCAATCCCAACTCCACATCACCTCCAGTTGAGTACCTCCATTTCAGAGCCCCAAACAAGCAGGCTGGTAAAACTGCCTGCCAAAGAAGACAAAGGGGAGAGCAAACCTGAAGGTGTATTTGAAATTTCACGCTGACAAAAAGTTTTTCCGAATTTTAAATGCTCTCACTGGCATTGGGAGTGGAAAGAGAAAGCCTTGGGTAGTTACTGAATGTATTTCATTGTCTGTAGGTTTTAATGTGGTGCAAAAAGCCTGAAAGCTCTAATCTGAATAATAAGAGGGTTTGGAGTGAGGGATGTATTTATAAATACAGCAATTGCTGCTGTAAAAAGTAAGAAAAAAAATCAGAGTAAAAGAATGTATCAGTAGTGAAATCAAGCAATCAAAGCACACAAGAACCCCACATGGATCTTCTGAAAATCCACCCCTACCTTGCTCATGGCAGTCAGGGCAGGGTCACAGGCTGCATCCAGGTCCTGCACTAACAGCTGGATGCTGTTGGAGATCACACTGCAAAAAAGGGGAAAAAAAAAAAAGAAAAAAAAGAATCAAGCATGAGTTTTAGAATCACACTGAGTAACAGAGTGCCAGAACTGGAGCCTTTGACTGAGAGAGGAGGAAAATCCTCTACTGGCTGACAGCAGCACTGTGATGTGAATGCACACAGCTACAAGTTGTACTGAGGAGGAGCTGGGAAACCCTGCAGGGAGCTGCACAATGCTTTAAAGTGGGCTCCAGGGGAGACAGGATGGTTTTACAGCTGACCTTTCTCTGTTTTAACACAAATAAGGGGTTGGGGAATCAAAGGTGGCAGATGAAGAGGAGAAATCCCCAAGTATCAAGCCCAGACTGGGATTCAGCTTCACATTTAACACCAACATTTTATCATCTCTCCATTTATTCACAGCCAATATTCTACTGCTCACAGGAACTCGCACAGAGGATTTTAAAAATGACATCTGCATGAGTTTTGTGCCTCCCATGTGTGAAGATGAAGGCAGATGTCTTATTTACACTATGTCTAGGACTGCTGCCATCCATTGTTTGAGTTCCTGAGACATATACCAGACTAAAGGACACATTAGTCAAACACATTTCCCTCCCTCTCCCCACTTTTTTTTTTTCCTTTTAACAGCATGATATTGCTTTGAGACATGTTTAAGGCCATCATATCATGATGTGCACAGAGGTGCAGCTGATCCTGAAACAACAGCCAAGAAACTCTGCCTGCAGCAGCTCAGAGCCCTCAGGGGCACAGGACCAGCTCCCCACTGCAGACAGCCTCTGCTAGGAGCAAGAACTCATTCTGGTTCACTAAGCACAGTTTTTAAAAACAGTGTCAACTTGAAATCTGCCACAGATGCGTGTTTACAACCTCAGGATTACATTTGTAAGAAGCGGATTTTAGTTTTGCTCTTTCTCATGATGGTAGCACAGATGAGAATCACAGGACTGTGAGAAACCTAAGCAATGCTTCCTCAAACCATCTTTCCTCCCCCTCGTTGTCTTTGTGAAGTTTTGGATACTACTCTGGGGTTCACTGCTCAAAATATCTGTAGGTGCCCACCTTCTCACTGAGATATGGTGTCACCCACTTGTAATTCTGACCTGGGTTTTGTTCTTCACCACAACCCAGAAAAGTTGTCTGCTCCCTTTCCTACAGCTCCAGCACATCAAGTCTGGAACAGGATGCAAAGTAGAAGACTTCCTTCAAAGCAATCCATTTGTTTGTAAAGGCAAACTCATCCAAAATAAGTTGGAAAAATTAATATGGGAGATGAAGCGACTACAGGCTTCAAGTTACACCATCTAAAACTTGCATTGGGATAAAAAAAGCCCATGACTGCTTCTGCTGGTGCCTCTGCTGCTGCTGGGCACTACAGAATCCCCTCCCTGGGGGATTCCACCAGGCCAAGGGAGCCAGACTGAAATAACCCTGCAGGGCACCTGCTGCCCCTGCCTGGCAGGGAAGAGCTCAGCACCAAGGAGCAGCACAAAGCTCTGAGTGGATGGAAAGTGACCCCACCACTTGTGTGACCTCAGGAGTCTTGTCAGAAGCTGGCACCAAGTGCAGGCTCTCACCAGAAAACCACAAAAGAGGGAGAGAAACTCGTTTGTCTGTTATTCAGAATAAACACCTGCTGTGGAGGGATGGCGGTGCAGCAGGAAATGCGCTGGGAACACAAAGGATCACGACATGCTGAGGGGGTTTGGAGCCTGGTTCTGCAGGAAGAACTTCAAACCCTCACCCAGGCAGCAGTGGGTGACTCCTCACACAACCCCTGGCACGCACAGGAGGGATGGGTCAGGAAGCTGAGGCCATAAAGGAGCAGTGCAGCAAGCACAGCGAGCCCAGCGCTTCAGGGGTTCTCTGGATGCTGCCCATAATTTTAATTTCACAAAACAGAGCAACAGGGAAATGATGGATTTCTGGATTTACATTACAAAACCTTTCCTTTTGTGGAACATCAAGAAGAAGTTCCCATGATTTCTCCAACTTTCCTAAAGAAACTGCTTTGTCACCCCAAGGATAAACCCCTCCTTTTCTACACATTTGGGGTGGTTCTGCACTCTCCTTTCTCTGAAAGAAGAAACACTTCCCAGGGTGCCTAAACAGCATTTTATCACTTATTTTATGACTGCCTAACAAGACATCAAATCCCAGCAGAAACCACTTGTTTGATGTTGAATGAGCCAATGCCAGCAAGGTTTATAGCTCTGACTTCCACTGACAGAAGGCTGGACAAAGCCCTGAGCTGGAACAGAATGAAAGTCAATTAAAAGCTTTGTTACAAGATATATCAGCCCTGTCAGTTGGACTTTAAACCTGTCCAAAGCAGCAAATGTGAGCTATACATAAAACAACTTCCAAAACACTTCACATTAGCTGTCTGGGACCCACCAGCTCCTCAGGCAGCCACTGTGGAAATCCAGCAGCCACTTGAGGCTGCTGCTTCCTGCTGGCAAAACTCACACCCCCACTTGTCCATGTTAAGAAAACCCCATCTTAGGGCACATTTTATTTCTCCTTCCCTGCTACCTGGCTTGCTTTGGCTGAGTGGACACAGCAACCCTGAATTTCAGGCTGGGATTCACTCTTAAAGAGAAGAGCCTGGAGGGAAGGGAGTCTCTGCAGCCTGGAATGGAGCCTGGGACCATGTGAAAGAGCTGGATGGAGATTCAGTGGGATCCTGTCCACTGCAGCAGGAGAGGAGGAATCACAGGAAGGAAGTCTTGTGAAAAAAATATCTTGCTGCTATCTGGGTTGGAGCTTTGTTTTACGGCGAGGAGGAGCTGGTGACAGGGATTATTTTCCCAGCCTTGCCAAGATATTCTTTTGTCTGATAAGAGGCAAAACAACTTTTGCCTCAATTTTCTTGTCTCAAAAAATACATTCAATCTGTCTGTCAGGGGTGGAGAGGAAAGGATGTTAGAGCAGAATATTTTTAGCACTGCTACACGAGAAGTTATTTTAATGAATGATAATCTTCTCTCAATTATAATCCCCAAATATAAGATTGGATCAGTCTTTTATGTCATCTGAAATGGGGTTTGATCATACTGACAAGGCTGCTGATTAACAGGGGGAAGTTAAAGCAGGAAGGAATGTACTGAAATAGCTTCCTTTCTTGAAATGTAACAGCCACCTCGCAGAGCTGCCAAGATGCAAATGCTGTTTCAAATGGAAACTCACTATTTCCTTTCCCTTTTCCAGTGCTCTTGTTCCTTTGGCTTGGACCATGGGGAGCAGCTAAAGCCTGAAGCTAGTGCTGCTCTTGGAGCAGCCAGGGGATACCATTCCCTGAGCAGGGAAATGCCTGTGCCCATCCTGTGACACCAGGATCTCAGGGCTGTTTTCACTCCAGCACCATCTGGCTGACAAAAGGGGATGTTTGACACATTGTGGGAGGAGGCATGTGCTGCACATACATGCTGAAAGTGTCCATCTCTCCTGTCAGGTTGATTCTCTCCATTAGGCTTGTATCCACTTTTTCTTTGAGCTTCTCTTCCAACTGTTGGGAAACAAAACAAGCAACAGGGAGATCAGGTTTCTAACTCGAAATAATCGTTCTTGAAAACTTATGCCCTGGAAAGGTCAGCTTCTTCAAACTTCATCTCTGACCAAACTATATCCAAAACTCATCTAGTGACACTGGAAATCTTTCCTTCTTGGCATCCCAGACCTGTTGATTTGCCAGGATGGGCCATGGTGGCTCCATGTCCTGAAAGAATTAAAGCTCCAAGGTCAAATATGTAACTCTAGTATGACATGCTACCGTAGTAGCTTAACACTGTGGCATCTGTCCTGCTAATAAAGATGTTTCTCAACACTCTGCCTGTGCCCAAACTGCAGAGGAGAAGGAGGAGGATTGCCAGACCTAGTGGTGCAGAGGCCTGGATACAGCCAAACATCACAGCTCATTCCTGACCCATGGCATTTTGGAAGCACCTGAATGTAATGAGTGGAGCGGCTGCAAATCACATCAGCATAAATTCCTCCTCTCTCCACTCCACATTGCCCCAATATTTCATGCAAGTATTTTCCCAAAAGTATTTTGAATTATTGTTGTGCTTGTTTTCATGAAGGGGAGATAATGAACAGAGAATCTTTAAAAAAAAAATAAAATTGGTCCCCAATCCAAAACAAATTATATAACAAGTAGAAAAGGATTGACCCCAGAATTGATGCTGCAAAGCAGGATTACAAGCAAATTACTTTTCTCAGAAAATCAATACTTTTCTTTCTTTGAAGTACAGAATGAGTAACGTAGAGCTCAATAATCAATGGATTTTTTTTGGTCCTTTTGGCTGTCCCAGTCTCCACAGCAACACAGAAGAGGGAGGAAAGCTCACCTGCTGGGTGGTGGCCAGGCAATATTCTGCAGTACTCAGGATGCTGCAAATGAGGCAGAGTTCTTCTAAAGTAAACTTTGCCACTTCAGAGCCTTCCTTTTCTTTCAGCAAACTTGTGATGGTGAGCCCACCACTGCTGCTGGTTGTCCTGGGGGGGAAAAAAAAAAACAAAAAAAAAAAACCAAAAACAAACAGATAAAACCTGTGAGGTTTTTGACAGTACAGACACTCAAGGTGTAAAATTACTGCTGGATTTTAATGCCATAAAAATTTAATTTTAATGCCCACAACCCAACAGCCTGTGCAATTCAGGACATCAAACCCACAACTGCTATTTTGGTGAAGGAATTTCTTTTACAAAGAGCTTTGTACCAGGTCTTCAAGCAAGGGACAATTCACTCATTGACAAGAAAATAGATTAGGATGCAAGTGGAACACAGCCTTCCCCAGGTAGCTTCACCTTCACTGCCAGTTATCCAAAATCTAATTAAAGATTGCAGAAGAATCTCAGAACTATCAAGAAACTTGTCATATTTATCTCTGCAGCACTAAACAGCTGTCCACATGGATTTGAGACTTTGGCAACCTGTTTTAAAAACTGATGGTATCAACAAAGTAAATTATAGAAGATTTGCCTTCCCCTCCTCTGTCTTCAGTGAGCAAGGTTCATGTATCAACAAAGACAGACTCAGAGCAGTTTACAGGCAGGAAATTCCCTACCTCTCAACTCTTTATAATCCAAATCCATTAAAAAAAAAATAGGACAGTGATATTTATCTTGGACAGCAAAAATGGAGCACTCAAAAAAACGTGGATAAAGAATGCAACTGAGGTCTGATGGAGAACACACATTAAATTTATCTTTCCACTTGTCTGGATGGAACCCTCTCCCCTTCCATCTGTGAAAGATTTTACTGGTTTCAGAAAGTCATTCTGCTGCTCCCAGGTTTACAAAGGAAACAAACTGAAGATGTTAAATGGCAAATAAAATTATCTGCAGTGGGGTTTTGGCAACATCTCAGGAGCACCTTTAGCCTGTACACTGATCCATACTGGTGCAAACTCATTATGATTTCCTTTCCTTTCACTGGATTTACATCTGCAGATCTTATTTATACAGAGATAAAATGTTCCAGAGCAGAGTGAGGTACAGGGAAGCACTTCAGCATCTCAGAAATAAACCACCTTCATTATAAATTACCATATAGATGATGTTGGGCTAAGGCAGCTGAGAATCCCAGTATGAGCTGGTTACCCAAGCAGCAATTCTGAAAGCCAGGCCTCTCTGAAGAGACTTGGGCTGGCATTTCAAAAGGAACCTCAAGAAACTGCAAATCTGACTGCTAATCAAAGCCAAATATGAAACTCTTCTCCAGAGGTCCTTAAAAGAAAAACAATGTGTGACTGCTCATTTGCTCTCCTGCTTTTCTCTCTGTGCAAGAAACTGAACTTTGGAGAAAACCATGAAGTAAATGGAGTGATCCTGCTGCTGCCTGGGGTGTTTGACAGGGAAAGGAGTGTTCACAAGGATGCATTGATGAATTATCTTTACAAATCCTCAGCTCCTCGGTGCAGTGGGATGCCTGCAGCACTGGGGGTGCCAAACTCACTTGGGCAGGTTTCCAGAGAGGATTTTCCAGGCGTATTCCCGCAGGTATTTCTGGAAGATGGTGGTCAGGGCTATCATGGGCTCCCCAGTGCTGAGCTGGGAGCACTGCACCATGCACTTCTTGTAGTACACAAAGAGGTCAGCACAGCTGGGCAGCACAGCTCCTCCTTCATCCACGTTGGGCTTGGGGGGACCCTGAGCCTTGAAGTCAGCCACAAACCTGTCAATCAGCTCTCCCAGATTCCTGGGGTGGGGAATAAAAAGATATTTGAGTTTGCTGAGGGAGGAATTGGAGTGAAAAGAGAGAGTAATGCTTACAATGACATGCCCTGTCTTGTGACACCAGCAGCTGGGTATTCCCAGCCCTTTCTTATCTCCATGCTCCCAGCACAAAGCTCACACAATTCCACACAAGCCCAAACCTTTTGTGCTCAGGAGTTTTAGTGGCAGCTTCAAATCTGTTCTCCAGCCACACATAAAAGCTCCCAGGTCTGCCAGGGCTCAGTTCAGCACATTTGATGCAAGTGCATTAAGCCTGTGCTCAAGTTTCATTCCTGGCACCAGGAAAGGGAAGAGTCAGGCTTCCCATCCCAGCAGACCTCAGGGAATTTGGATTTTGAAGGGATGTACTCAAAATGGTGAGTGCCATTTGCCATTTCTTGGTCCCATTTGGATACCACCTGCTTTTGCACAACTTCACACACCCTTTAAAGAAGTTTTATTTAGCATGAGCACAAAGTGCACTTCCTACTCAGACCCTCTTTAAAAGCACAAAAAGCCCTCTTACTGTCTCCAGTGATTCATTACAGCCTGGTCCTTACTCAAATATTTTGGTCTTCAGGGAACAATAAACTTCACTCCATCCTTTCACCAGGACAAAAAGGCTTTTGAGCATGGCAGAGGGCCAGAGCCATCAACACAGGACCAGAGAATCTTCTGATCTTGGGGAGTTCCTCTGGTCCTACCCCTCCAGAGACAGCACATGTTGGAGACCAAGCCCAGCTCAGCCCCATGGAATAACCTTTGCCAGATGAATTCCAGCAATAAACCTGCTCCCCCAGGCACACTCACGCACACAGCCTTCCTCAAGGAAGTTTGGGTTTTGGGAAATTGATAGGCCTTTCAGATGAGAGAGGTACCCTGCTGACCAGGAGTTCCTGTATTTTATATTCCTGTTTTTAATATGGTTTTCCTGCAGCTCTCCCTTTCCCATGGCACAACCTACACCTTTGAGGGTGCAATGGTTGGGCTGTGCCATGATCCAGGGCTCTAAGGAGAAAGCCAAATCCTCAGGAGAAAGGCTGAGACTCTGCAGCACATTGTCACCTTTATCAGTGAAAAGGGGAAAACCCACCAACAACAACTTCCCCCAGTTTCTATCCCTTTTTGCTTTCCCTCTTGTGAGAGAGAAAACCCCTCTGATTCCAGACAATCAGAGAATCCACAAGCAGAGAATTCAGAGAATCAGAGAACCTACAAGTCAGAGACTTCAGAGAACACACAAGTCAGAGAATTCAGAGAACACACAAGTCAGAGAATTGAGAGAACACACAAGTCAGAGAATCAGAGAACACACAAGTCAGATAATTCAGAGAACACACAAGTCAGATAATTCAGAGAACACACAAGTCAGAGAATCAGAGAACACACAAGTCAGAGAATCAGAGAACACACAAGTCTCTTCACTGATAAACTCAGAGGCTGCTGCCTCAGAATGGATGAGCTCCTACCACGGGTGATCTGCTGGGCCAAACTTATCTCCAGAGATGTGCTTGGAATATCAGCACTCTCAATCATGGAGCAAGCCTGGCTGGCTTTAGCCAGGCTGCTGCAAAGACAAGCAGTCCCTTTTCCTTTTCTGTGCCTATTGCTCGAGCCCTGCACACAGCTCTGATTCCACACTCACAGCTCCTCAGCTGTGTTACAAGCACTGTAAAAACATCAGGCTGCTCCACTGATGTGATAAATCTCCACGCTGGCAGCAGCAATTGAAGGCTGAAGTGAAGCATTGATTGTGTTGGGCCACAGAGAAGCAGAATTTACCTCCCTCTGTAGCTGTAGCAGAGCCAAACAGATGGCTGCTGCAGGAGGGCTCACACGTGCTGCAGCCTGCAGATTCCTGCAGCTTCTCAAGGAAAGAGGACGTGGCTCACTCCTTGTCAAACTCAACAGCTGCATCTCCACCTCTGCATCTGTGCTGGGCTCCAGCTGGGCAACAAAGTGGAGCTTTCTTAGCAGTCACCAGTCACTTGGTTTTTTTTGCCTTCTCTCAGTCTCAAGACACGGTCAGGAATGTCAATGGCTTTTGTTTCTTTATGTTTAGCCCACATGTTCTCCTCTTCTCTGAGGCAAAGTGAAATGGATCTGCATTTTCCTGCTCCCCCAAGGTCTTGTCAACTGGGATGCAGGAGAGAATGCAGCTGTTCAGAAGAGCTGGGAGAGCAGTGCTGGGGCTTCACGCTTGTTCTGATCCCAACCTGGATAAAGCTGCCCATCAAACCAGGCTGTGGGACTGCTCCTATTTCAGAATGGCACTGGTGCAAGCAAAACATCAAGATATTGTGCACTAAAAGAATTAATACATCATTAATGCACACCTTGGCTGATGGCAAACCTTCACATGAGTCTCAGCTGGCCCAAATATGATACAAAGGCCACAAATGTTTGTGTGGTACAATGGGAGCACAGAGAGTCTGGCAGAAAAAGCTGCTGGGAGATGAAACATGCAGAAGGCAGGAGAGCTACAGAAAATGAGTATTTTCTCCACAGACTCTGCAGAAAATCTCCAAGAAAATTCTCTGGTAGTGCAGATGTGGTATTTCCTAACAGTAGCATATTTATTGGGAGTGAGACCTCGCCAAATCTAACCAAGAGAAAGAATGAGATGAAATCACATAAAGGGAATTCTATTCTGCTTCTTTTCATTCCTGCATTCCTCTTTGTTTTGTTTTTTTTTTTTCTTTCACTCAACCTATTCAGGGTTGTCCTGGCAATCAGGAGAAGAACCAGGAACTCATAAGCAGCAGGAGAGGAGAACAGGGTGCTCAGGAAGCTGGGTGTGCCCAGGGATGTGAACACAGCAGTGGCACTGAGACACTGGAGCACTGCAGAGCAGTTTCCATGCACTGGGGATTTTGGAAGCCCCTCTGCTGATGAGGCTGCAAACACACAGCACAAAGTGCCAGTTTTCCAAGCACTCTGGACTCAGACGTGCCTGTGAGCAGATTTAAGGAGGGCTCTGCACACTCTCAGCCCTGCAGAGCTGACAGAGCTCTTCCTCCTCTCCAGCTCAGCTCATGTCTGTGTGCTCCTGCTGCTCCAGCTGACCACAAAGGACAGCTAAAGATGCACATCCCAAGGGGGCAGGAATGAAATCTGCTCTGCTGGTCAGAAATCTGGTATTTACTCTGCAGCTGAAGGTGGAGAGCAGCATCTTTAAACTCCTTCTTTCAGGTGTCTCCTCTTAAACTCTACAGATTTTGGCGCTGTGTTTTTATAAGTGGGTATGGAAACAATTTTTTGGCAGAAAATGCCCAGGATTTTTTCTGCCACAGATTTAATGTGGCAGAAATATTATGAACAAAACTACTGCTCTCACTGTTCAGAGCTCAAACATACAATTAATGATCTAAGCAACATCTCATTTTCAGACATTGGCAACAGATTCCTCAAAAGTTCAATCAAAGGAAGAAGAAGAGAGAAAATAGTGAAGGAAAGCAATTTTTGGCAGTCAGGGGCAGCATGGGGAATACTGTGGCAGTTTTTCTTTGAACTCCCTGCAGCTTGTGGCTATAAAGATAATATAAAACATCTCATGATTGTAAAGGAAAAGGAGGAAAAAAAAAAAAAGGCAACTGAAGGGGCTAGGAGCACAGTGGGGTAGAATTACCAAAATGGGGATTAAAATGGCCCCCAGTGAGAAGGGAAGAAATACTGAAATAATCTGTGCTCAGTTGGCTGAGGGCAGGGGGGAAATATCAGTTTCCCTTTGTGATACTGCAGAGCAGAACCTAAACCCAGCAGGACACAGCACTGTGCAAGGTTTCAGCTATTTAATGATTTTTTTTTTAAGCATAAAAGGTTGATGGGACACAGAAAAGCTTTTTCAAGATGCTTATCATGGAGTTTGGATAAAATCAGGACACTACAAGCCTCGAGTCAGACATTCTCTCATGTGCAAAGCCTTGGAAGACAGAAGAGGACACACAGATGAGATACACCAAGTAGGCACCTCCTCCTTTCCAGCCACTTATCTGTGCTAGAAGACTAAATTGAACCTTTTTCAGCTATTTCCTCTCTCAGGTGGCACTGCAGTTGTCACTGAGATGTTATTTAAACCCTGGTGTGAATGGAGGTGCACAAGGAAGAGTGGTGAGAGCCTTGAAAACTTCTCAGAGCTCAAAGCTCCTTTCATTCAAATTGTTTTGCTGCAAGTCAAAGAGGAAGATGAAGAAGGGTGCCAGGGATTAAAGCCCCTGACAAAGTCCCAATCTGTGAGCAATGATAATGTTATCTTACAACCAGCTCTCATCTAAGGATCTCAAATGAGTTCTTCCTACAAAGCAAATCCTGCAACTCCTCTGCCACGAAGCCACATGTGTATTTTACAGAAAACCCAACCCTATCATTTGGAAGACACGAGATGAAAGAAAGACACATGTCTGCAGAGGGAATTGCAGAGGCAACAGAAGTAATTTAGGAGCTCTAAGCCTCTTCCAGAGAAAGGCAGCAGGCACCACTCCTGCAGCCCTCTGCAATCACACACAAAGCCAACTCCACAGCCCTCTGAACACTCATTTTGTCCAAGCAAAGGCCCCACTCAAAGTTTCTTGAGCCACAAACACTGCTCCTGTTGAAATGAGGCAGCAGAGCTGCAATATATTAATTTTCTGCAGCTTGAGTACAGAATCCAGCACAACCCAACACATCCAAAAACCAAACAAACCCTGAAACTCAGGCTGGTTACTCACTTGTCCTGGGACTCAATGTACACATAAAGGTGAGGCTCAAAGCACTTGGAAACAATGCCATGGAAAGGATTGTCAGGGACCTTTGGCTTCTTTGGCTGCAAGGAAACATTCAGAATGTTGGTTCAAACCTGCCCTGGAAGACCTTGAAGGAACAGCAATGCAACAGCACAGAAGGATATAAATCTTTATGGAGATATTGTAACACAGAAATTTGCTGTCAAATAATCAAAGCATATAAATGTCATTATATCCAAGTCTTCCCTCCTTCTCAGAGAGCTGTTAGCAATCCAAGGAATTACCTTTCCACTTGTAAAATATTCTTAGCCTTAAAGAGAAGGCTGTTCATGCTAACAGATTTCAGCTGAAGAATCTTAATGCAGTTTGCAAATAAAATCTCCCTGAATCCTTCAAGCAGTAACAAGGCTCCTCTAGTCCCCTCTGAAATCCAATGGAGCAGTTATTTGAAAGCAAGATTAAAGAATCCTTACATTTTAGAATATCAAGGGCAATAACTCAAAGTTACAGGCCTCATCTGAATGAATTTTATTTAGATAAACAGCATGTAATTACTGCAGGAGCCAGAATTATACAGGCCTGCTTTCACTGTGAAATATGTTTCTGGGGATGCAAAGATTTCTATTTTTAAATCACATTTAGAGCATTAAGCACAGGTGCCACGTGGGAGCCATCCTGTTTGCCCTCATTTGAGTTCAGTGCTGCACTCTAGCCATGGCCAAGCACAGCCCACCAAAGCCACTGGGACTACTCACACACTTAAACTTGTGCATGTTTAAGTACCAGACCTTTAAGTTCTTTCCTGCCCTACAGCTAGATTGTTATTATTCTTTTTTACTAATAGGTAATTTCTCTTGTTGCTTCCCAGCAGACCAGCAGCTTTTCATTGGCTGCAAAGAGGGCTGCAGTGACTCTGGAATGGAATTCTTGCTTCTCTCTCCACAAAAAGCCAAGATCAGCTCCCAGCCAATGAAGATATGAACTTTTCCAGCTGATTTTTTGGTTTTTTTTAATGCAAGAAAAGCCAAACAAAAGAAGCAAAGCCTAAAGGACTTTCCCTCCTAAACAACAGAGGAGGTGGCACTAAGAATTTGGCAGAACTATCAGAGTGTGACAAGGTAAACATTTCTCAGCAACAATTCAGCCCCAAATGATGAATCCCAACTTAGGGCTGCAAACCTAAAGTGAGGAAATGGTTTTATGGAGGCCAGACCACCTCTGTGAGCCTTGAATGAAGAATTTAACTTTTAAGAGCCTTGGGACAGAACCATTACCAGGCATCCTCCACCCAAAGCCCTCTGTTTGTGCAGGATGCACACACTCACTGGAGCTGGGAGGGAAAAAATGGCTGGGAATCACAGAAACCTGGCAGCTGCCAAAGGCCTGGCATGGCAGTGCCAGCACAAGGACACAGATTCACCATGTTTACCACTCAGCAGGCTGGAAGAGCCAGCTCCTGCAGCAGGCCTGGCTCTCTGTGCCTCTGCACCACGCTGCTCCCAGCATGTCTGGTGGAAGGAATATTAAATCTTTTACCAGTAGCACTGAAGCTGTATTTCTGCGTGTGCAACCCTGTCCAAAAGCTGCAGATGTTTAAGCTATTTCCTCCTTGAGTTTGATGGAAATAATAAAAGGTTACTGTTGTCACAGCAAGGAGGTCTGCAGCTGGCCCAGTTTCCTTTCATTACTATCCAAAGTAAACAGATTAAATGGAACTGCTAGGATTACCAAAAGAGGTGCTTTTTTAGCATGGATTTCCCCCCCCCCCCCCAAATTCTTGTGCTCCCTTTTAGATCCCCAAGGGTCTTGAATTTTCAGGACTGGTGTCTTGGAGGGGCTCTTTTACTAAAACCCCTTCATCTTCAACTCTTTGTGTCCCTTCTGTTCTTCAGGCAGTGACAGGAAAGATGAGGCTTGCAGCACTTCCAGACTCCCAGCATGAACCAGCAGCTGCTGGCACTGGGACACTGAAATGTTGGAGCCCACCTGGCACCCAGGAGGCTGCAGGGCAGCACAGCCCAGCCCTGTGACAATGACACAGGGCATTCCTCACCACAAACTGCACTTCCAGGGATGTCTCCACAAGGTACAGGGAGCACAGCAGTTCCTCTCTCAGAAGCTCCTGAACTGCTGCATTCTGCTGTTCAATAAACCCAGCCCTAGTTGTTGTAATTATCTCTCCACCTGCCTCCTAACACCACTGGCTTCTCCAAGGATGTCCTCTCATCTCAACACTGCAAATCCCAATCAACTTTCCAGTCATTGGGTATTGGAAAGGAAGCTCTTCCCAAAAAATGCATCAGAGGTGTCTCCCCAGGTTCCCAATCTCTGTCTCACTGGTAAAATCCACACAACACCAATTTTACACTGGTAAAATACACAATACCAATGTCCAAGCTGTATTTTAATGGAAAGAGCAAAACCTTGTGTAAACCATTCTGTTTCAGGACTTTGGCTGTGGATGAAGGCAGAGGGGCTGCCTTGCTCATGTGGAAATCTGCAGGGGATGCAGTGCACCACACTGTGCTGGTGGAGAGCTCCCACCTCCTGCTCTCCCCAGGGGCAGGGATTTGAGCAGGTCCTGAGGCCCTGGTCACCCATCAGGATACACCTGTACATGGCCCATTTACAGGGCTGTAAATCCCCTAAAAAATGAGGAGAGTATCAGCCTCAAGTAAGCCACAATTGAACATTTAGAAAACATCCATCTGGTGTATAAAATATAAGGCTTTGATATTGGTGCCAATTAAAACAATTGCATTTACCATTCACCCTTTAATGTTTGCAGAGGGCTTTGCAAGCCCTGTGCTTGTACAAGCAGTTAGGTGCTGCCTGCTTTGCAGAGGTGATGGATAAAAAGCACTGTAAAGATAAAAATCCCAGAAGTGATTTATCTGGAGTGAAAATCTAAAGCTGACACTTGAAAGTTCAATGACTTGCCTGGTGACTCCAGACAGTTTGCTTAGCTGACAGGGCAAAATGTGAATTGCAACTGTTTGTAGAGGAGCTTCTTTGGGGACCTGAAAACCCAAATAGCTATTTCATCTCCCCTTGACAGAAATCCTGTAGTTACATTTGGGCTGTTGCTGTACAGGCTGGAACAGAATCCAGCTCACTCTCACGTGGCAGGATTGTCTCTGCACTATTAACTGGAATAAAGACTGCTTTGGTTTCAGTGAAGTGAGCCAGAGCAAAGCATGGTCGTACTGGGAGCCTGAATGCTGCACAAAGGATCAAAACTGCACTAAATTAATTGCTGTGAAAACAAACTTTTCAAATCAATGGGATGGGAAAAGCTGAGGCCCCACTGGAGATTCTGACAGAGGCTGAGAACTGGGAACTTCAAAGACTTACTTTGTCTGTATCACTTTTCTCCATCACAATCTCATCTGCCTCTGCCCCACTTTCATCCTCCAGAAAGGGGTTGCTGGAGGGAGGTGGCACTTCTGGCTTCTTCTGCTGGAAAAGAGGAAGCTCATCAGAGAACAGCCAGTTTTGTGCCCTCTGGCACACAGCTGCATCCACATTTTGCTTTTCTGAGCCCTCCAAAGCACTGCCCAGCAATTTGCCTTCTCCCAGCAGAGGTGATCAGATCCTGGCTCCCTCTCCATCCCTCCATGCTGCCTGAATCCTCCATGAAAGTGTGACATTTTATCCAGTGTGACATTTCCACTCTCCCAAACCCCACTCCAAAGTGTGTGGTCTCCACTGGGATAACCCACAACAGCAGCTCCAAAACTCTGCCCTGCAATCAAGCCCAAATTGCTGCTCCCACTGTTTGTCCCCCCCACCTCTGCACTCACCAGCCAGCTATTTATAATGGTGGCCTTCATTTTGGGTACAAAACAGGGCAGATGACAGCCAGAGTGTCACAGCCTCTAGACATGTCAAAAAGGGGGAAACACAAGATTTTCTGTCATTTGAGACCACACCCTCCCCTTCTGGTTTTCTCACTTACAACGACCCAGCAAAGTCAATTTAATTAAAGCTGCAGATTTTCTATGAGATTTGTCAGAATAAATAAAGCCATATTCCTGAGAGACCTAAATTCAGCCAGGAGGAAAACCTTACAGGACTTCCTCTTTTAATTAGCAGCACCCACAGCAAATGACCAGTAGGTCCAGCAGCTTTCCTGGGAGGCTGAATTATCACATCCAGGCAGGATTCAAAACACCAGCTGGACAGAGAAGCCAACCACACATGCTCTGTGCTGCCAGGGCATCTGCCTGGCAGAGCTCTGGGCTGAGATTCCAGGCAGGAAAAGCTCAGAGATGGCTCCAGAGAAATTCCCTGAGTTTTTTCTCTTGGTTCTGCCTCTACAATCTACAAAAAGAGACAAAGCAGAAGCCAACAATGTCCCTGCAAGCCAGAGTGCCCCAACAATGTGGGACTGAAAGCTGGTACCATGTGGTCAATGTGTGGTACCCAGAACTGAGGAGAAGAGGGGACTTTCAGCTGTAATGTGTCACTGACACGTAGAGAACAAACATTACAAGGCATTTAACCACACCATAACCACTCTGTGGCTTCAAACAGCACAGGGCCCCAGGAGAATCAAAAAAGCACACAAGCAGGGAATTTTTTATTCTTGTGAGCTCTATACCACTTCTCTACAATCTACACAACTAAAAATCACTTTTCCAACTACAGGCCACTGAGCAGAGTCCCACTGAACACCCTGAGCAAGGGGAGGCTGCAGGTGACACCTTTTGTAGTGTCCCCCACCTGAGCATTATGTGAGGGGTTTCTTCCTCCTGAGCAAAGGAGAGTTTTTCAGAAATGCCCTTACCACTGTGCCATCAGCAAGAGTGCAGCCTGAGAAACGCTTGGCCAGGAGCCCCTCAAAGTTGGTTGTCCTCTGAATTGCAAACAAAAGCAATTTCACCTCAATCTCCTTCGCCCTGGTGCGCATGATCTTGGAGAGCTCTGCCCTGCAAGAGAGATGGGATGTAGAAAAAACAAATGTGGTTTTCTATAAAGGTCTGAAACCTAACACTGGAACTCAGTCCATTCCCCAGAGAGACTTTCATCACAAAATTCAGGCTAATTCCTAAGAGGCTCTCTAACATAAAACTGCTTTGCAGATCCCATTTCAAATACAAGCAGATCCCATTTCAGTTGTTCTGAGCTCTGTGGGTAACAGGACCCCATCTCCTGGCAGCCAGTTGGGAAAGCCCTGAGGATCCAAGCTTGGGAAGCACAGGGACTCCCACTGGGGTCCCAGAACAAAGGCAATGGTGCTACTGGGACTCCACCTGGCACCTTCCTCTGCTTCCCTGTCTCTGGTTGGCAAAGAGCCTGGTCACCACAGTCAGCTCATGCTATTCCACTTGGCCTGAAATATTGCTGATTTTTACCTCTGTTACGCTGAAAATTGATTTGCACATCACTTCAATTTCTCATCGTTTTAGCAACACTCCTCAGGCTTTTCACTCCTCACTTCCTTTTAACCACAGACAATTCCAGAGAGACATTTGCACCCTGCCTTTAGACACTGACCAGCGTGGCAGGAACCAAGCCAACCTTTTATTATCAGGAAGCTGGGAGGCAGCAGGAGCTGTGTGGTATTACTGAAGGGGCATTGGGACAGACAAAGGTAATACAGAGACTCTATCATCAGAAAGCATGAAAAGACACTGTATTATTAGAAATTTACAGGTATTATTATTATATTATTATTAGAAATTTACAGGTTTTATAGAAACAATGCTGGACTTAAGACCTTATTGCCCTTTGGGAATCTTCTTTTACACTACTGGTGAACTATGAATACTACACTCTGAAGAATCACATCTACAAACAATAGTTACAGAAAGAGAGATAACAGTTTCAATTCTTTCTCTGAGCTTTCTCCCAGCTTCTTACAGAAAACCCTGGGGCAGTTCTGTCTCTGTGCTCACAGGGGTGTGACTCCCCAGCGAGGGGCTCACCTGGTGACGTGGACAAACTCCACGGCCACATCTATAAACGACAGTTACAGAAAGAGAGATAATAATGGTTTCAACTCCTTCTCCCAGCTTCTTACAGAAATCCCTGGGGCAGTTCTGCCTCTCTGTGCTCAGAGGGGTGTGATTCCCCAGCGAGGGGCTCACCTGGTGACGTGGCAGAACTCCACGGCGATGCGCTCCGTCATGCACCACTCGGCGGGGAACATGCGCCCGTACTTCTCCTCGTAATCCACCAGCTGCCTCTTGATCCAGGCGTAGCGCCGGTCAATCTTGTCCAGCCAGGCCACCTGAACCCCGGGGACAAAGACTTTTTAGCACCACCAGTATTTTTAGCAGCAGCAGTTGCAAATATTCAGAGCTGTGCTGCTGCTGCTGCAGCTCTGCTCTCTCTCTCAATTAGCGATGATTTTACATGGATTAACGTCTTGATCCAGGCATAGTGCTGGTCAGTCTTGCCCAGCCAGGCCACCTGAACTCCAGGGACAACAACTTTTTAACACCATCAGCATCTTTAGCAAATATTCAGAGCTGTGCTGCTGCTGCTGCAGCTCTGCTCTCTCTCTCAATTAGCGATGATTTTACATGGATTAACATCTTGATCCAGGCATAGTGCTGGGCAGTCTTGCCCAGCCACGCCACCTGAACCCAAGGACAAAGACTTTTTAGCACCACCAGCATCTTTAGCAAATATTCAGAGCTGTGCTGCTGCTGCAGCTCTGCTCTCTCTCAATCAGAGATGATTTTACATTGATTAAGACCCTCTGAATGCTTTGGATTATCGGTGATATTTTTGCCCGACATCCAGGAGGAATGATGAGGAGGACTCCATCTTATTAGAAGGCTACTTAATTACTTCATTACACTATATTCTTATATGTTAAATTGCATTACATCTAAACTGAATCTGCCAAGCACTCAACTCAACTCCAGTGCACAACATCTCAGCCCACAGTCCCCACACACACCTGGATTCAAATTAGTCAGTGAATCAAAACACTCACACCAGAATCCAATTACCAATTCCCTTCAGGTAAACAGCCTTCCACAATGCATTCCATTTGTAAACAAACACAACAGCAGAAAATGAGATAAAAATTGTTTTGATCATTCCTTGCTTCTCCCAGGTTCAGAGAATGTGAATCCCACACTGGATATTAGGAAAAATTTCTTCACGGAAAGGGTTATCAAGCATGGAACAGGCTGCCCAGGGAATTGGCTGAGTCACCATGCCAGGAGGGTTTAAAAGATGTGTGGATGTGGCACTTAGGGACAGGGTTTAGCAGTTTAGGACTTGGCCACAGCTGGAATCAAGGATCTGGAAGGTCTTTTCCAGCCTAAATGATTCTGGGATTTCAAGTGCTTAAACACATGCCAGACTGAAAATCCTATCTTGTGAGAATTAAGAGAGCAAGTTCTGTTGAAAATGAGGATAACAGTACTCCTAAATCATGCAGAGATTATTGAAAACTCAATCCAATAATATTTCATTTGATCCCACCCTCTCTGTTTCAGACAAAGAGGTTAAATTCAACACTGGGATGAGAGTGCAGCAATTCCTTGATTCTTACATTTTCACATTTAAACTCCAACTAAAATTCTTACAAGCTGAGCAGGATGGGATTTTCCCCCTCAATAATTATGTTTTCTGGTCAAAAAGGAGAAAGATTAATTGAGAAAACTTTGATGGAAAAATGTTATTTGAACTTAGGCAGTTTAGCCTTTCTCTATTCTACATCAAACATTTGAAATTGATAAAATATATTTTGATCTAAAGGTGATTTTGGTTTGTGTGGGGTTTTTTTACCAAACTCAAGAAGGTTATGGTAAACTTTTAAAAAAGCTGTTAGTATCAAGACAGGAAGTTTAAAAATTAGCTATAAAGATAATTAACTTTCTAGAAATCCCTCCCCCTCAGCTTTCTAAGCATTTTGGGGTGTTTCTTGATTGTCTGGGCAGGGGGTATTGACTTTGCAATTTTCACAGTTTCATTTTTCAACCCTTTGCAGGGCAGGAAATAAATCTAACATCAATTTGTTTATTTTCTAAGTGGAGAGAAAACATTTCTAGTGATGATCTGAGAAACTGAGGTCTAAGGTGGGAGAATCCTGGCAGAGATAACAGCAACTCCCACTCATCAGCCACTCCAGATCACACCCAGAATCAGCTTCCAAGCCCTTGGAATAAAAACTTTTCACCACAGGAACCTGTGGAAGTGAGAATTTTGTGAAACGTGAAATCCAAATGGAGCTTGCAAAGCTTCCCTTACATCTTGATTTTCCTGGAAAAGGACCAGATACTCTGAGAGGTGTTGTTTAATGAATTTCTTGATGATTTCCTGTTTGATCCTGGGATCCAGGACGTTGGCTACCAGGCAGGCATCACGTAGGACATTGCTGGGCCCACCAGTCCTCTGTCAAAATAAAGAGGAAGAAAATTATTTCAGGTTAAACAAGTTGAATGGGTGATTGTAAATGCATCCAGGTTTATCCTTTCCTATTATTCTCTTTTCTGCTGTTACTCTTTATTTATTGCTGCATCTTTCTTCTGCTGCATGAAAGCTGAGCTGCTTCCATTTCACTGACCATGAAGTTGTTCCATGGTAAAGGCAGAAAATTTAGAAACATTTTTTTTTAGAAAAACTGCTTTGGTGCTGCTTCTCACAGACACAGATCTGCCCTCCACCAACTGCTCCAAAGAGTCTCCTCATTTCTGTACTTGTCACTGGGATGAAGAAACCAGCAGAGCTGGTACTTTGAAAGACAGAACTGATGTTTTCTTGGAAGTAAATTCGAATTCACACCTACTCCCTTTACTGTTTGCAAATGTTTGGATGCACAATGCTGGGGAAGCACAGTTGGTGCTTCAGCCCCAGCCCAGATCTGTGCTGAGTAAACCAGACACAAACTTGGTGGCACTGTGTCAACAGCCAGCCTGTGCTTGGCTTCCTCTGAACAAAACACTGATTTTTGTGACTAACAAATAACCAGGGGCTGGGTGAGACCCCAAGGAAACGCCAGAGATGAATTCTTGGCCATTCCCTGCCTGGCTGCAGCCCTCTTGCAGGAGCTGTGTGCAGAGTGAAGGGAAGGGTGGCACTTCCCCCCCAGAGTGAAAAATTTGCTTTCTGAAGAAACTCCTGAAACAGGCAGGGACCAAACCCAGAGGAAAAATGAGATTAAATCCAACAACAATCATACTGAAGAGTTTTCAGTGACACTTTTCAACGGGAGGAAGAGGGAAAGTGAGAACTTTACCTTTGTACCTTGGGAAGGAAAGGCTTCCTCGAAGTCAGCCAGGATCTGCTGCCCCAACTCGTTCTGTGCTGCCTTCACCCTGAGGGGGACACAGGAGGGGCTTTGGGGGTGCTCTACAACCTCCCTGCAGGGTGGCTGCAACACCAGCAGCTGCAGGAAGGTTTGTAAGGGATCAAAAGGGTGCTGAAGAGAAAATATCCACACTCAGAAGGTCTGTGTGTCAAAACTGGGAGAGTGTTTGCTCCCTGAATGACAATTCCCCGCAGCACTGAGCCCTCAGCTGCAGCAGAACATGTCCTGGATTCTCCTGCCCTGCTGCCATTTAATATTTCAATGAGGGCCAGTTAATCAGCTATTTGAAAGGCCTTTAATGCCAGTGTGATCTACACTGAAATTCATTTCTGTTCACCACATTTCAACAGAAATATGTTTCCAACAAGTAAAAAGCTTCACAATGTCTCAATCTTCACCAGGAACCTTCCACAGCTCCAGGTGTACTGATCCACTTCTAAATGAATACAGCTGGCAGCAGTTTTAGCCCATAAATTCTCACTGTCTTACAGAAGCACAAAAGAGTAAAAGGTATGAAACGGGAGTAGAATAAACCACAACCTTGCCCTTTATTTGGCTGAGAGAATAAAGCTTCCAATTTCCAGAAATAAAAGTCAATACAGCTTAATTGATACTTCTAGGGAAATGGAAATGCCTACACACACTAGGAAGTGCCAAAGCAAACAGTGAGGCACTTCTATCCCTCTGCAGCCCTTGAATTCTTCCATCAGTTTTTATTATACTGGAAAGGCTTTCAGGTCTAAACTGATCACTCCAACAGTGGATTTTTCCACTGAGATTGATACTTCAGCAAGACTGGCGACATTTACTGTTGTGAAAATGTTTGTTCAGACTGTGGGGAGAAGACTTGGGAATTTTTTTTGTGCTTGTTTAAGACTCCTCAACCTTATCAAGGAATGATCTGCTTCTTTAATCTTCCCATTCGAGTTCCATTAGCAGCAAAACCCCACGAGATGATCTGACAATGCTGGATTCTTTCATGGCGCCAAATACAGAAAATTCTAGTCTTTTAAAATTGATGGCTGAAATATAACTTTATATCTGTGATTTAACTGGATGTAAGACCTGCCTTCCTCAGGATTTATTTATGGGGATTTTGTTGGAAAAGCTTCCTGCCTGCAGTGTCAAAAATAATTCTCACTTAAGCTCTCTGCTTCACAGGAATGTTCAGAGACTCCTCTACTCTTCCAGGTAAAGACATCCAGTTAACAACTTCGTAAGTGGGAAACAAAAGGAATTCACTAATATGTCGAAATAGGAGTGGGGAATTTAATCAGTAAGGAGGAAACCACAGCTACAGGTCTACTCCTGCTTAAATTCTACAAGAAACCACTTGTAGCTCGTGTGAGAAAATATCACAGAAACAAACCTTTCATTCTCCAGGAAAAGAAGTGGGAAAAAAGAAAAAAAAAATTCAAAAAGACACTAAAAAGACTGATTTTTTTTTTCTCTTTTAAATAACCCAGAAAAAAAGAAGTGTGTAGAATTAGGAGTCACAGAAATTAGTGAGTTTGTATGAACAACTGGAAGCTATTAGCAGTGATACTCCTTTCCTTCTCAGTGGCTGTGGGGACATTTCTGTTTGACAACAGCTGCAGTGCAGCACAGTGGAGGCACTGAAAAGAGCAGCAGCCAGATTCCTAAAGACTCAACAAATTTAAAAGAGCCTCTGTCAAGCAGTTAAAAGCCCTGTCCACAAGCTTTGTTGTTTTAGGCTGTGATTCAGGAAAGTACTTAAGGATAATCTTAATGGGGATTCTCATATCCTTAAATTAAGAAACTTGCAGGAATGCCTTGCTCAAGTGGGATGTTAAAAATACGTATTTTTTAAAAATAGGTCCTGCATTAAAAAATCTCTCAAAAGCAGGCAGGGAGAACAAGTTTGAATCTTTTTTTTTTTTTTCCCCTTCATATTTTCTAAGAGAGGGACAGGGCAGAGCCATCCAAGCAGCCAAAAGTTTAGGTGTGAGCAAGGACAGGGAGCCCCAGTGCCCTCTCAGTAAAAACCACTTATTATATAACCACACACACAGATACACTCAATTATTTTCACAATTATGAACACACTCAGAAGCAAGAAAACCTTTATTCTACCTCTTTGGAGCTCAACTGCCTCAGGCAGAGGACAAGGGGGGCACTTGCTTCAGCCACTGCAGATTATTGCTCCTGGGGAAAGCTGTCAGCTGTGCAATAATTCAGAATATTCTCCATGCAGTGGACACTGCAGCCATAAAAACCTGGAAATTCAACCCTGCACGTGCCTGAGGGTGTGTGGAACCACTTCACCAGGTGAGCTGGCTCAGCAAGCCCAGGTCAGAGATTTAGGATCTCTCAGAGCCTCAGGGGGGTTTGATAAGGGTCTCTTTCCCTGGGTAGGTTCCTCAGAAATTGGGATATCCCAGCAGCCATCCCACACAGCAGGGAATTGCCTTTTCCTGGGCTTGCCAAACCCTCTGGTTATCCAACTATTAATGATTTCTGTTTCTCTGACTTCTGTTTTATTATTAGTGGCTTTTGTTCCCCATTTCCCCTGCCTTTAAAAAATAAAACAAGAAAACCCACTGCTATGTTTCAAATGACATTCAATTACTAGAAACCACAATTCCTTTAGCCAAAGCTACCAGAAATCTTAAACCATGCCTGGCAGCTTGCTGAGATAAAAAGAGGCTGAGCCAGCCTGTTTTCCTGTGGCAAACTTATAATTATCTTTCTCCTAAATACTTTCCAGGCTTTTTTCCACTATCTGCTAGGCCTGCAAGACCATTTTTTCTGGGTGGGTTTGGGACCACTAATTGTACAGCCCTCCACAGACAGAAAACAGCAGAGGATTGAGAGATAAGAAAATATTCCTGTTTACTACAACAGCTACCAATGCACTGCATTAGAAATTGCTTTAGGAACACTCTTAGGAAAATATTTACATTTGGCTATGAACTGTGACATTTTTACATCAATACTCAACAGGATCAGCACAAGAAGCCAACTAATTGAGAGTTCAGTCCAGGTTTCCAATGAATCCTTACAGGGGGATTTTGGCTTGGTTATTTTCAAAGGGACAGAACAGGTGGAAAACAACATTAAAAACACATCATTACTTCTCACAGCATCCAGGAGCAGCAGCCTAAATTGAATACCCCATGACAAAGAGCACATCCAACACCACCAAGCAGGCACTTCTCCTTCCCATGGTTTCCCATTCATACTTGGCTTCACTCCATTCACACCATGAAAAAAGAGGCTTTTTATTTCAGAAAGCAACAGAATCTGCTCCTTTAGCAGTGTATATAAAGGGCTTATTGTATGTAACAGACATTGGTTACTGTCACAGGTCTGTGCCAACATCTACTAAAGCATTTCTTGCCTTCCCAAACATCCTAGAGGCTTCACTTGCACCACTAAAACAAATCCATGAGATATCAAACCCCAGCAATTTCACAGCCTAAAAATACCCCTGCAAGAAGCCAGGCAAACTTCCTGTCATGTTTCATGAATCACAAAAGGATTTCCAAGCAAAAGAGAGGGAAAAGTCAACTCCAACCCAGGCCCTAACACACAGCCACGGAGTCAAACCCCAAAAACAGAATGATGGTGCCATGGACCTCCCTGCAGGAATTTTCTGCCTGGATGTGGAGCAGTAAAGAGCTCTGAGCAGCACCCCAGAGCAGCTCCTTTCACCCCACAAGCAGCCTCCTCTATCACTACCAGATGGTGCAGCTCTCCCTGTATAAACACTGGAAGGAAAACCCTGCCGAGGCAATTCTAAAAATAGGAGGAACAGACTTTCTTGAGCTTTTCAGATCCTTATCTTGAAGGGAGAATAAAACAAAAGAAGTTTTCCTCCATGTCCTTGCCAGTCTCGCTGGCGTGACTCAAAACCACCCTGCCTGTTAGCAGGAGCCTGAATTGGTTTCTACAACAATCAGCAACTACAAAAGTATTAAATAATCATCCACCAGAAAGGGAAAACCAGCCAGGAAATTCTAGAGCAAGGTTTAAATGATATTTGGCCTTAAAATGGCCAATGACAGCAGGTTTCTGCCCAAAGGGCATTACCACTGCAAGCAACCTCTCTGAGCACAAGGTTGGAATAGACAACAGCCTCAGCTCAGAAAAGCACTGACATATGTTTACATTTCCTTGATGTTCATGTTCATTTAAGCAAATGCTTATGGTCAAATGCTTTGTTAAACAAGGCCCCATCCCTTCTCTAGATTTAGAGTGGATTTTTCTTCTGCTCTGTTTCATGGATTCCATCTGTGTTTTCTGGAAGAGGTGTCTATACCATAAAGAAAGTCCAACAGATTTACATGAAAACATTACAAACAAATCACTCAAACTCTGTTTCCATCACTAAACAACACAGGGAGCCAGCTGCTGTCTTAGCAAAGGGAGGCACCAAAAAAAATTAATGACTGTGCCTGGAAGACTCCTTTGAGCACCTCAGTAATGAGAAGTCACCTCAGGCAGGGACAGCACTGTCCCCTAGAACAGGGAGGGCCTTGTTCCCTCCACTCCCAGCTGTCACATCCCAAATGAAGCCAAGACTGAGGAGAAATGGTGGCTTAGTGACCCCTGAGCCTTCACCTGCTGAGGGTGGTGGGGACTTGCACCAAACCTCCCCAAATTAGTGTAACTCCAGAAAACCAAAGCTGCACAAGCCCAGCAGATTGGCTATAAGCCTCAAACCTCAGCAGAACTGGGCAATGGGAGAAGGTTTTGGCAGAAGAAACTGAAGGTGCTCAGAATAACCAAGCTTGGCAAAGGCAGAAGGAGAAATCCTGCCTGTCCAAGCCCTGGGGCTCTGCAGGCTGGCAGCAGCTCAGCAGCAGTGAGGCTCCTGGTGAGGCACAAAGGGGCCCAGACATCACCACGTGCAGGAACAGATTTGTGCCTCATGCCAGGCTGCTGGGCTCCATCACTGAGCTGAACAGAGCAGGAGAGAGCATCACCTCAGGGCTCACACAAACACCTGCATGGGAACATCACACACAACAACCTGCACTTCCACAGGCTCCTCCAGGTGAGAAAATGAAAAGCCAGCCAGTAAAAAGCAAAGAGTGAGTTACATCCACAATAATTACTGCTGCTGAACAGAATGGGCTGCTCCAGATTTGAGCAAACTCTGCCCAGTTTTAACCTGTTTGTTCTGGCTGTAAGGAAGCTCCAAGGACCATGTCCAAACTTCACATCCTTGAGACCTTGAACCTGCCTAAGACATTTCCTACCCTTCCTCCCCAGCAGGAAAGGATTTGAACCTTTTACCTTTCAGAGAGCTGTCGAATCTGAGGGATCCCCATGTATTTGTTGAAGTGCTCCAACACATTCACCACACCTTGGAGAAGGTTGGCAACTTCCCCATATTGTCTCCTCCTGGTCATAGCCCTGCAGAGGAAATTAAAGATTTACAAAGGCAGATTCAATGAAAATCCTGGGTGGTAATTCCACCAGGTTACTTCATCCCCACTGGGTCACGCTGGTCCTTATTGACATTTATTTTTCTAAAACACACAGCTCTTCACTAACATTCCAAGGCAGCATTAAAATTTCACTTAAGCGATGCTAAAATAAACCAATCTGGCACAAATCTAACAATGCCTCCAAAAAAACATAAATGTCAAAAGCAACACTTGGCAAGGAACATGTAAACTACTGAATGCATCCGCTTCCCAGTATGGGTCTGGAGGCAGTAAATGTTATTTCACTGTAATGACCTGAGTGAAGCCATTCGTCATCACACACAAAGTGTGAGTTAAAGCTTCTCTGGAGGAGAACGATGCTGAAAAGCCATTAGCCTTGACTTCTCTGTTAATAACTTTCACAGGGAACTGACAGGGGAAAAAAAAAAAAAAAGAAAATCAAGTTAATTTATTTTTATATCATCCTTTAGGATCATTCCAGTGGAGACAGCAGGCTAAGTAAAATTTAATTCTCAGCACTTCACGACCCGGCGTTCGTGCAGGATTTGCTACAAACCAAGAACAGGCTGTGCAACTTCACAGATGCAACATGCAAAAAAACCTGTATTTTCCTAGATTGTGTGTTCCTCAGGCATATTAAAAAAAAACCAAAAAGGATTATTAGGAATATTTAACCCCCAATTTACACACAGTACAAGCTGCAAGGTTTCCTTAAACTCATGCTAGAATGAAAACTAGAGCAGACCTTTACCAAAACCCACTGCAGTTTTAGATACAAGAGTGACAAAAATCCTCCCAGATTCCCAAAAGCACATCCCTAATGAGGATTCCTAACAGGCTGTCCTACTCCTTAATGAAGCCAGACTCATTCCTTATCACCAAGGATCAACAGAGCAATTCAAGCAATCAATGCTACAAACTGTGAAACACAACAGGCTGGGGGTCACTCAGAGCAACACAGATCCACCAGCAGAAATCCAAACTTGGGAGCAAAATTCCCTCCAAAAAACTAGGCAGGCTGGGACAGACCCATAGAGAACACTGCACAAACTTCACACCAGGAATTCCCAGACTTACTCCAGAGAATCCACCCCCCCTGCCAGCATGTGGAGGTGGTTGAGGGTGGTGATGGAGGTGGTCAGGTGACGCTTGGCATGGTCCAGCTGCTTGATATCCCTGGTGATTTCCTTCACCTAGTGAGTGAAAAAGGATTCTGGTTGAGTATCAAGCCCCAGCAATGGAATTTTCAGGAGATGGGAAGCCACTCTCTCCTCTTTGGGACTGCAGAGGTGTCAGCTCAGCAGCCCTGTGGACACCACAGGTTCAACACAGGCTCAGTAGGAAATCACCAACCAGCCAGGACCAAGGACAAAAATGTTACTGACAGGAAAAGTCAGTGTCCCCTCCCTTTCAAAGGCCAGAAAGAAAGTGCTGCTCACCATTTGTTCAGATTTTTCAGCCTTGTCTTTAATATCCTTAATTTTACCAAAGAGCTGTTGAATGGCTTTCTGGGCTTCTTCCAGGGCCTGGAAAAGAAACAAGGTCAGAGTGGAAAGAAAATCTGCATTCAGTTTTCACCTTTCTAAGAAATACACAGTTGCTCTTAACAGTCCCTGGGGCTGGGGCACTGGAGGGGAACAGCTTTCTTAAAAAGAAAATACCAGCAGCACAACAAAAGTCAATGTACCACGTTGGAATATTGAACCTGAGTGGGCCAGGGTTTCACTATCCATTTTACAATAATGCTTTGGCAAAATTTCATCAAGATATTTTATGAAAGCAGCTCTTTAAGGTTACTGGGATATAGTTTGACTGACTAAGTGTGGAAAAATAGGTAGAACTTCCTCCTGATCAACACATATTTAAAGCAGAAAAATGAAACCTCCACAAGACCTCTATGCTCATCATTAATTATAAATAAAAAACACACATACAGAACACTGAGTGCTTGCCCAAACCCCTTGCTGAATTAGCAGGACATTATCCTGGTGGAAAACATGATGCTGATTCCTTTGGAATGGGCAGCTCAGCCTCCCACACACCTGCAGGAGGAATGGCTCTTTCTAAGCACAGGTAGAGAGATGGAGCCCAGGCAATGGCTCTCACCTGGATTTTAGTGCTATTTTCTTGGGGCACCCTTTTATCCAACCATGGCACAGCCTGATCTCACACAAGCAGCGTGAACCACACGTGGATGCAGAGAAGGAAGCCACATGTCCAAAATCACATGTCCAAAATCTGCCTTCTGCAGTAATTCCACACGTTCTGCCTTCCCAGCCTGATAACATTTCCAGCTCCAGCTCCACTTTGTTCCCTGCTGTTAAGTGGGCTCATATCCCTCTGGTTTTATATCCAGTCCCATGACCAAGGTTACAGCACAAGCTACAAGTTCCTTCAGCAAATAAATTTAACACATCTTCATTTGGAAATGGATGAGGAAACTATCTGCCAGGAGCTTTTGCTGGAATATAGCTGGGTTATAATAAAAGTATAAAAGCTGGAGACGGTTTATAATTCATTTTCCAGAGTGGGGGGGGGGGGGGGGGGAGAAAAGTCTCTGAAAAATTTTCTGAATCATGTGAAAGTTAACACTTTATGGATTGGTGTCACAGATGTCCACTGCTCATGAACACACAAAAATGTGCTGCAGGGTGGTTGAACAGCCCCTAGCAGCCTCTCCAATTCCTTTGAGAGTTCAATTTTCTCCTCCATTTCAAGGCTTGTGGATTAAGTGCAAAGCAAAGAAGCAAAGAATGCTCTTTTCAACATATTTAGCTCTGTCTCTGTGCTCAGGCCTGCAGCACATTACTCTGTAATGTAATTAATAAGTGGGTTATTAAGCAAGCAGCAACTGTTTTGTATGGTCTGAGCTTTGTATAGGTCTGTATAAAATTCAAGATTCAGCTTGAAATTCTTCACAGATGCCAACTGCTGTTTCCCTTTGCTTCAGCACTAACAGCAAATGCTGATTTTTCTGCATGATCCCAGGAATTCAGAGCTTCTTCAAAAGAACTATTTTTCTAATGGTGATATTTAATAATTGTGATAAAAAATAGCAGAGAGCCTTTACAGGAAAGTGGGTGAAGAACAAGTTGCTGCTGCTCAGTGGAAAGCAGCACACTCAGGGTGGGCAAAATCCCCACCTAAAAACTGCCCCTGGAACACTGAGCAGAGAAAAATGGGATTCTGTCCCTGAGCACTTAAAACTGCCAAAAACAAGGCAAACTGGTGTCATCACCTGGTCCTGACACTTCCACCTCCTTAAAAACTCTGGGAAAACACAAATGAGATGATGTGAGCTCTGCCCCATCTGATGAATTAAAGAATTGTGGTCTCCTGCTGCTGGGACAGGGGAGAGACCAAACAGCAGCTGCTCTTCTGTTCCAGTCCTGCATCTCATCCCTCAGAGAAGGGAAAACATTTCCATAACTGTTAAAAAATTAATAAAAAAAAAAAAAAACACATAGGGAACTCAACTGCAAACTTGAGTAAATCAGAATTGCTCATAAACACTTGTTTCATTCCTTAAAACTTTCTTCAAAATATTTGCTTAGCCATTGAGACATAAATCTTTATCTATTCTCCTAAAAAAAAAGCTGCATATTCCTTACATGAGTCAGAACACACTAATGCATTATATAATCTATATATATATTTATATAATGAATGTATCATTTGTATAATTTACATTTAGAGGTGAAACCATTTCTTCAAACATTTGCTGAAAGTAACACTGTGTGAAAATCTGTTTTTTTTAAAGTCAGGAGAGCTCTGTCAGATCTGGCATGAAGTTCAGAACCAGAAAAAAAGTGTTATTTCATGCACATGTGCAATTAAGAAGAACCAGAAGACAGTTAAAGAAATCAATTAAACTTTTTTTGCTGTACACTCTAACCATAGCATCTGAGAGTAAAATACTGTGTGTAGAGGAAACAAACAAAGAAAATTACCCAATAATGAAAGAAAACCATCACCTTCCCAATTACTATAAAGACAGAGCAAACCAAATAGAAAAACAAATTTCAAATATAATAAAACACCTCATATTTAATAAACAGTGTTATTAAGGGATAAGAAACCAACATCTAGGGCATGAAAGTAGGTCTAATTGCTCAAGGTGCAATACAGAAGTTTATTAATGTAACTAATGACTGTTCTTCCAGCTGTAAAAAGAGAGGGGAAACCACAGCCAAGCTGAAGGAAAAAATGCATTTCCCTTCACACTCTGCTCCTGCTACAAGAGTGAATCATGAATTTTAAAAGCATTTTCTTACTGCTTTTGTTACTGTTTTATTAATAGGTTTCTTTTGGATAGAAATTCTAAGGAAAAACAGCCTCAAGAGGCTAGGAATTGCTTTTCTTGCAGCCTGTCTGGCTGCCATGCTGGAGGACAGACAGGCAGCGATGTCCCAGCTGTGGCACCTTGCGTTACTGATTTATTGGTTTCCTCACCAGTGCAACTGGGAAACACGGAAATGCACACACCCCAAACAGCAACCAGCAGTGAAGTTATTGCATTTCCTTCCCTGCACCAGCAGTTCATTCCGGGGGCAGAGGACCACGAATGAGTAACGAGACTGGAGCCACAATCTGTTGTGGTTGTACGAAACGAGGATGTTGAAACGAAGGTTGCGACGTACTGGAAAAACACCATATGACTCTAATCAACAACTGAGCCTGCAAGCTACAATTAACCCATCAGCATTATTTATTCAACTTTATGCAAGCTCTGAGTGCCAGCACCAGCTGAGAGCCACGGTGTGGATGGAGAGGGCTCGGCTGGGAGGCAGAGCCAGGGTGTCCGAGCTTTTTCCCTAACGTTTGACCCCAGGTTTCCCAAATGCTCTGACCGGTGTAAATTTGGCAAAGACCAGCTAAATTAGTAAATTTGGCAGGACCAGCCACGGGGGGAGAGGCTGCATCCACAGAGTGCTCGGTACAAGGCTTCAGCCAGGGATCACATTCCTCCTCCTGTGGTTTAGTGTGTCCGACACATCCTGGATGCAGGAGGGAAGGAGGGGATGTGGCGTGTCCTGCCTCCAGGGCTGCCTTGCAGAAGTGAATCCCCAAAATAATTCATGGAGAGGAACACACAGGGGGGTCCCCCAGTTTAAAGCCACGATGTTTTTTCAGCCATCCCTGTTTTTCAACCAGTATTTATGCAGTGGGAGCCCCTGGGCTCGCAGCAGAAAGCTGAGACACCACACACAGGAGGTGGAAAACTCAACTCCAGCTCACAGCCTGAGCTCAGGTAAGCTGGGCAGCCAGTGAGCAGCTCTGCTGTTTGCCAAATTCTCCAAAGCTGGAGGGAAAAACGAGCCCATGAATCAGCCACAGCTCTGCAACCTCCTTCACCTTGAGATGCGACAGCAAAAGACTCCAAAGGCACCGGTGTAAAACAACAGGGAGCAGAGGTAAACCATGAATCACTGAGAGACTGCCCAAAAAGTTGCTTTCCTTGGCACTGTCCCAAGCAACTCCTAAGGTCAGACCACACATCATTCCTTGTGTCACCTTTTCACACCAGATCTTCCAAGCAGCAAAAGGAGGGAAGAAAACAACCCAAGCAGAGGTGGGAGCAGACTGTGACTTCTTTGTTAAATTTGGAAGTGATGCATTCTTTAAAAGGTTATGTTCCAGTGACTTACAGTACCAGGCTGACATTCATACACACAAAAAAACAGTGTTAGCAACAATTATTCCAGCCAAAAAAAACCAGCCCAGTGAATTACAGTCAGTCTCTCCAAATGCCTGCAGTGCTGCAGATGGACACAGCCTCCTCCTCCCCTCCCAGCCCAGGTACAGAGCTGTCACATCACCCCATCAACCAGCAGCTCATTAGTGGGTGTGTTAATTTCTAAATACCTCTTTATGCATCCCATCAGGAATCTTGTGCAAGAAAATATTTCCAGTACCAGGAAATATGCAAATAGGAATTAAGAGGCCTGTGTGTTACTAGAAGATGTCACTGAAGTGGGAGAAAAAGCAAATTTTCAGGTGAAGTTTCCTTGCTTGGGGATTAACTGAACTAACACTGTTTTTTTCCCCCCAGTAATGGTTAAAATACCTCCATGGTTTCTATTTGCTTGCTGGTGTTGTGCTAGAAACATGTTGTTTTTATTTGATTCCAGCCAATATATAGTTCAATTGAATGTTGTTATTCACATCAGAAAGCTGCCCTCTACCAAGTGTTTTATAGACACTTGACATCTGCCAAATTCACAGCATCCAAATGTATTTTTAATGTTACAAATAGGGCTGTGGTCATGATGCTGAGAATTTAATGCTCCTGGCCTGGTCCTTGCTCTTGAATACCGAGTGTTAATGCTTCTTTCATTTGCTGCCACACTTCCAGCCCAGATCAATGAAAATCTAGACCACGACTAAAAATAAAGTTCCCATCCCCAATTCTCTGAGGAGCCTCAGCTGTGGAGATTTCAAAGCAACCCTCTCACACTGGAACCAGCCTCACATTTTCTGCTGCTGAAACCTCATACAAACGAGTCCCTCCAGATTGGGGAAGGGT